TTTTGGTACAACATTTTGTCCTCCCACTTCCCCTGCGCCCCCACGCAACGCCTGCCCCTTCCACCATCCCCACCGCTTACCACGCACTTTGCGAGCATAGCTGCCACATTCCACAAATTATTTCACATTCATTCCAATTGGTTACGTAGTACATGCTGTCGGGTTGTTGTCTTGGCTAAAGGTGACTTTGCTTGCGCCACACTAAAAAGTTCAACCAAGCTAATACCCTGCATATAACTGATTAAAGGGTGTAATGATTGAGCTTTTTGTAAGGAAAATTCAAATTAAAGAGTTTAAATTAGTTCAAAATATATTTTAGAGAAATATATTCTATATGATCGACATTTATGGCGTATTCCTAATGCATAGCTTATTATTTAATAAATTCATGAACTCATGAAAGCCGTAAACAACTTTTCCGTAAAGGGTATTTAATAGTCACAACAAACACATCAAATTTCCAATTGCTATTCATGAATGGCAAAAGTTATACAACGATATGTATGTAAATATTTATAGACAAATAGGTGAACTGTTTAAACCAAATACCCAAGAAATTTACACACCCAAATTTACCAAAATTTCGGAAACAATTGTTTGGACTCAAAATCTGTCTATATAGCACAATTAATTAGGCATTCAAAACGCGTGCATAAAATAAATATAAATTGGCCTAAACGTCAGGCGCAGCGAAAAAAAAACACTTGTTTTTATACCCTGAACCCATTAAAAATGGGTATACGGGTATATTGTATTTGTGCAAAATCCAAATGTATGTAACAGACATGTCCGTCTGTCTGTCTGTCCGTCTGTCCGCATGTATGAACGCAAGGATCTATAAGAGCTAAAGACTTTAGCTAGAGATTTTAGATGCAGGTGCTCCAAGTGCCTGTGCAGATCGAGTTGCGATAATCGATAACCTACTCCGTTTCCAAGCAATCGATAAAAATCGATATCAATATCCTGTTTTTTGGCCAATTTTGGTAAATAATAAGAGCTAGAGTCACCAAACTTGACATATAGCTTTTAAAATAGAAGATATGTATGCATTTGATGTTGGAAGAAGAGGGTTCAGGGTATCCCCTAATCGGGAGCTCCCGACTAGAACCTCTTACTTGTTTTTTTTTGTTTTACGAAAAACTTGTCTCGTTTGTGTTTTGTTCACTTTGATTGGCATCATTTCCGCTTACATATCTAATATTTTTGTTAGCTTATGTTTTTAATCTGGTTTGCAACTAATTTGTGCTTATAATTAGCGGCAAATTTGATATTCGTCCCATGACAGAGGTGCAAATTGTTCTGCCCAACATGCGCTGATCGTTGTAGATAGATCTATATATATATATATATATATGGATACAGATATATACGATGCTTAAAACGTTTTGATTATTAAACTGAAAATGAAAAATACCAACTTAAGCACTGTGTTTAGCATATACAATGTGCTTACAAACATTTTTTATTTGTTTCGTGTATGATTAACAAGTATTAGAAGATTCTGTTCCATAATTAGAATGTTTGCTTGCTTTGGAATAAATGGAAAACTTTTTGTTTTAAACAATATGCAATAAGAATATTAAAATTTAATTTTCTTTTCGTTTCTCAGCCAGCGAAGAGATCTACTATCAAAAGATTGTTATTTTTGGTTACTTCTATTTAAAATCAGCTAAAAATGATTAATTTTTATTTAAATTGATTATTTTATTTTATTTTAATTTAAATTGAACAAAATAATCCTTATAAAATTGACAACAAATTCTTATTATTTCTTTTTTTTATAATAATAAAAGCTATTATTTATTTTATTTAAACTTATACAAAATTAGACAAACCGAAAAGATTGGCTAAATAAATTTTAAACTCAATTTTTTTTAAAATTATTTATTACAGTGCAAAAGTATCTTTTTGATTTTTTCGATTTATTTAATGAATTTATAATTTTAATTTTTATGTTCATTTTATTATGTTACTGATAAATTTTTAAATGAAATATTTCAGTGCAAAAATATCTTTTCCCAATGTTTCTTTGATTTTCTGCTTCTCCAACTCCCGAAATATTTACTTAAGTATAGATTTATTTAAGAGGTTGCTTATATTTATAAAATTAATTTTATTTTTATTTTCAATGGCAAACGTATCTTTTGCCAATGTGCCTTTGAGTTTCTGGGTTTCCCAACTCCTGAAATACGGCAGTATTTGCCAACAGATCAACTAAAAAGCTGGCCCAGTTTTCCAGCTTTCATCATGATGATGATGATGATGATTTGGTATGCAAATGCGTCAACGCTTAAGTACGGGAGTTGTCAGCTACCCGGCCTCCGCGTCGGGCTTAACTGCCGGTCGCACATGGCAGACGCCAGAGCTTCTACATATAGAAATACATATTAATGGCTTCAGTTGTTGTTGTTGTTGTCGCTACTCTTGGCTGATATTTGTTTTATTTTCATTTGTTGTTGCTGTACTCGCATTTTTTATTTGTCTTTTATCAGCCTGTTTCCATATGGCATATATTGTGCGGGGCGTGGCGCTGTCGAGGGTGGTGGGGGGACTATGCACATTTTGAGTAATTGAAAGCCGCACTCATCCAAATGAACTGCTAATACGTATATCAATATTGGAATACATTTGAATGTGTCCATAGTTGAATTCGTTTGAGCTATTTAAAGCGCAAATACTGTGCGCCTTTGCACAGGGTATTCGATATTCGTTCAAACTGCGCTAACATTATTATTTATTTTACCTAATTCTGCTGCAGTTTGTTGTTTGTTTGTTTGTTTACGTCCAGCGTACAACAGCAGCCACAGTGACGGCTCTATGGGCCATTACTTGCCCATAGATCCGGGACATGGACATGCCTGTTGGGTTCTATGCCTCGCTGGCTGTTCGGCCCGCATTGTCCAGCATTGTGCAGCATGTGGCACAGCATTTGGCTGATATTTGTGAAGAGACAAGAACAAAAACGAAAAAACAATTTAGGTTTTTTAGTTTTTGGCAGCCAGAAATTGATTTTTATTGAGTTTTTGCACACAGTTTCAATAAAAATGTTTGAGCGCCTATATTTCATTTAAACTATTTAATTTCGTTTAGCTGTTAATTGGCATTCATTGAATTGCCTGCCAATTTTCATTTGTTAAACTCTTCGTTTTTGAAGGCAATTCACGACAAAGATGCGTGTGCTATATATAAATTTAATTAATGGGTAAATGGAGTTGGATAGGCAAACATCTTAGAGTCAGCGTTAGTTTGCCTCAGTTTGAAGATCCGCGAAGAAACATTGACTATTTATGCATAAAACTAAAATGTTGTATAATATTGTTCATTATTATGATCAACATTGAGATATCTTGCATAATTCCCAAACATCTAATACTTCATTCTATTGAAATTATGAGAAATGAATTTACAGGGTATTTCGTAGGCAGCCACAACTGTTCTGTTCTTCTCGTTGACAACAAAATTCGATGTGTATTTTGATTGTGCGTAGTTGTTGCTGCGCCATTTGTGACGTCATTGATTTATGAACAAAATGAAGAAAGAACCCTTCAGAATTGCCAAATCAATGAATGGTCCAGAGTTTAACATGTGGCGCCTGGTTAATTGTTGTAATGGCTTTCGCACGTTTCATTAACTGAATATTTATTTTATTTTATGTGTTAGTTAAGGAAACGTAACGTTAAATATAAATCTATTACCGCAAATACCTTTAGTTTATTTATGGATATTTCACTGAAAAGCCTTAAAAACCTTATGTATACACACATTTGCAATATGAATGCGCTCACAAATCAATCATCATTTAATGATAATAAGGTTTATTCATAGACCTGTGAGTAAATTGCAGCTGCATGAATATTAAGTATGTATAAAGCAAAGTGCACACAGACCAACTCAGTTATCGGCGCTGATAAAGAATATATATTTAATTAATTGTATTTTAATAGGCAGCAAATGACACTTAACAGGCGAATGTTATTTTACAGACGCACTGTAATGTGCCCAACAGCTAAAACTGTTAAGCGTTAACAGCATGCCATTTTCGATTCTGTTAATGAATAATTAAGGCATTTTAATTGAGGTTTTCCAAACCAAAGATATATTTATTTAAATGAATCATAAATCAGTTTTATACGTAAAACCAATCAAAATTAAGCTCACATAATACCATAACATAAATTAACGGCCAAAATATTTGATGAGCCAATCAAAACAAAAAAAAAATAGAATACATATTTCAAAATATATATACGTAATTTAGTTAGTTGTGAGTGTTTTTGTTATTTTTTATAAGTAATATGGTATGCGGGGGCACATACATTGTATTTGTAGCTATTTATAATTTGTAATAAATTTTTAAATAAATTTGTATATAATTATGTATAAGTATGCATGTATATCGTAGTATGTATATTTTAAACGTTTTTCCATTTTCCAATGTTTTTTTTTTTTTTTTTGGTTTTTTCAATAAAACAGTCAGACAATTTTTATTAAAATAAATTAACACGGTTTTCGTACGCCGCCGCCGCCTGAATTGGCATAGAATATTTTCAATATTTTATGCGCTGAGCCACTTCATATACATATATATATATTTTTTTTTGACAAATAGTATGCATATTATTATAATAATTGTATACATATATCTCGATTATCATATAAATATATATATGTGTGTGTATATATATTTGTTGTTAATATAATTGTTAGTTGCATAGATATTTCAAATAGTTGGTTTAACAACATTCGCATAAAAGTATGTTGCTAGTCGCTCAGTGTAAATAGTTCGAATGTAGTACAGTGTAATGGCGCCTTCTTGTAAAAAAAATTAAAAAACATTTAAAGCAAATTGACAGATAATCTGTTGCTGCTGAGCTCGTTTAAAGTAATTATCGTAAAGTATCTATAGATTGTTTGACATTTGTAGATAAACATTTTCTTTGTTTTTTTTTTGTTTTTTGTTGTTTTTTTTTTCCTTTTTTTTTTGGTTTTTTTTGTACTACTTGGGAAGCCTCTAGTTTTGATATTACACAATAATATACTGATAGTGTTGGCGGTTCTTTTGTTTAATTGTACAGTTTTTTTTTTGGGGATCAAAAATCTTGACAATAGACATTGACATTGTTGATTAAGTGTGGTTAGGTTTACTTGAAGTTAGGTTAGGTATAGGCATAGGTAAGTTCGCATTGGACAATTGTTTGTCAACCCTGTTGTCAGTGTTTTAAAAACATTGATTTTGATTATGTTCTTGACATACAATATTCAGATATTATATATGCATAGATATAATAATATTACGTGTTGTTGTTGTTTTTCTTTTTTATGTTTTTGTCAAATTCAAACTCTACACAAAAATTGCACGCGACGTTGACTCGTTTTAATTAGTTTGTTTAAATTGTATGTATTTTATTTTCTTTCGTTTGCAATCTAGGGCAAAGGTCAAATGATTGGGGACATTATTTTCTTCTTTGAATAAAACCGGAAAGCTCAGCTTGAAAACTTTTATTTTCTTTCTCTCTCTCTCTCTCTTACATCCGCTCGCTTGCTCTATACCTCGCCTGCTCTATTTCAGTGTCTTGGTCTATTTTAATAAAACTTCTCGCCATAGTAGCTGGGTCCTCGTTCGCCCACTGGTTCGTTCATAAACTGGGTTTGGCCAATGGAACGCTTCTTCTTGGCCACCATGAAACGCTTAGAGGAACCAAGACCTGAAAAAAATAGGAGAATATCAATCAGCATTTTGTTGTTGACGCCATCTTTCGGCTGTTTCCAACACTTACGACTATTGCTGCCTATATATTTCTGTGGGCGTGGCACATACTCATATTTGGGCACCACCTGCGCCTCGACGGGCACGCCATAATAGTCGACCAGTGCGGGCGCCTGCTGTTGCTGTACGGGTGCATCCAACCAGCTGCCAGCGGGCACATAATCCATTTCATCGGCATCGATCAAGGGCACCGAAACTCCGCTCTCCACATCGCTCTCCTTGCGGGCTCGCTCACCGGCTTCGACCAGGGCAACAAGAGCTAACATGTCAGCTGGTGTCAATTTGGTGGTGTCACGCTTCAGGCTAAGCGGATAGATAAGAATAAAATTAGCACAATTATTTGGATGGGAGCTGTCAGGGTGAACTAGTTTGAACAGGTGTAAGTAGTGTGTTCGAAAACTGGATTTAATTCAAATGGGTTCTTCTTTAATTGATTTTCAGAAAAAGCATTCGAACATTTTACTTTTCACTTAACATTCTATGTACTCTAACATGCAAAGTTATGCAATGTTAATAACATATAATGTCAGTGTTATTCCTACAGTGCGAATAACTGCTAAGCACATGTTTAGCTGTTAACATAACTGTAGACTGTATGTAAATGATTTAAACTTACCGCATATCTCCATAGCGACGGTATTTGTTCAAATTGAGATTCTCGCTGGGAGCATTAGCGCCGGCCAAATTATAGTAGATGCCACGCTTATTACGTTCATCCAGATTATAGTTACGATTGGCATAGGTAAGTGGCACAGACAGGGGAATGCTCTCCAAATAGGCCTCGGCATTTAGCAGATTTTGTAGATTATCGTAAGCCTTATTGCGTCCAGTGGGCGTGTTCGCTAAAGAGGGGCCGATTGAAATGGGCATTGGCCGCAAAATGATGCTAATTAATGCCACTTACCATGTCGCTCCGGCACATAATCGTCCAGTTCCTGTAGGTCGCGTTCATTGTTATAGTTATTGTAGTTGTTGTAGCCAATGGGCGCAGCGGGCTCATAATCCTCGGCCCAAACACCATTGGGCACTTCGCTGCCATAATCGTTGCCAGCCACGCTCATATATGGATTATACTCATAGTTAATGCCACGCTTGCGCATTGTGGAGCTGGCCACAGCCTCCTCCAGAGCCGTTGGCTCATTCTGAGCCTGCTGCTGGCCACCCTGGGCGGCGGCTGCCACAGCGGCCAGGATCTCATCGTTGCTGGGCAGCGCATAGAGGCCAGCTTGTGGCTGTTGAGGCTGTTCGTTGGGCCCGTTCCTGGCCGGTGAATTGCTAAAGGTAGCGGGCACAATTTCCGGACTTGACTTTTTGTCGGCCTGTGGCACTGTGCCACTCGATGTTGCCCCATCCTCAGCGTGTTTCACTGCAAAATATATAGAAAATTGAATGTAATTTACCATTGCGTGCTTTTAGGGGTCGTCGCATATTTCAATTTGCGCTGCTGCTGATTCAATAAACGGCCAAAAGCAATTAGCCAAGCTGCTGTCTAACATAATTTGTTTCATTTGGAAGCATACTTTTTTTTATATTTTATTATCGCCAGCTTTGCTAATTGCTATTAGCGCCGGCAAAGCCATGTTTATTGCATATACTTTAGCAGCTGGCTGTCGCGAGGCATTTAGCTAGTTGGTCGGTTTATCCCCATAACAACTAATACCCATTGACATTATTATCCCTAATCATATTTACTGTTGGCTCTTACACAACGCTGCACAATGCTAATTGAATCGACTTGGCCTGGGCCCGATAATCAAGCGTTTCCTAGCTGGCAATTAAACTTGAATTAACACTTGCGGCAATCAACTACAGTGAATGCTCCATGGTGCAGACAGCTTGCTTACGAGCTCTATTAGGGGGATTAATAATTTTGTTTATCTTACGATTTCTAGCTGACATTTAATTTGCTAGTTCCATTTTTATATAATTTTTCAAGCCCGCCCAATTAAAAAGTAATTTAAAAGAATTGGAAGCAATCAGCACTTGGCCAGGTTGTGAAGCTGTCATTTTAATGGAGCTTTCACTGTAACAGGTGACAACTGTCATGAGTCAAACTCATGTCCGCAGACCCACGCAGCTATCAGCTCCATCTAACGTGTTTGATTTAGCTCCATTTTAAGTGGAGCCCATCATTTCATGGGGCCACATATTTCATGGGGATTTTCCTGCGCATTGCCAAGCGCATGTTTATCTACTTAGCACTCCATATTGTATCGACATTTGAAATGCTTTTGTTTTTTCTCTCTCTAGTATCATAATAACCCGTGCGATAAGGAAAGACCCAGCGCGTAAACAAATGCCCCAACAAATGATCAACAATGATTTATATGTAAGTACATAGAACTGGATTGCAATCGTTAATCTATTGTTTAGTCGGGCAGACCGGCTATTAAAGTTCCCCCAACCCAACCCAACCCAACCTTATCTGCATTAAAGTGTTATAACCTTGTTGAAAATGTACTGATTTTCCGTGTAGAGAACATTTGGAATATTATACTATATATTATTGGCAGTATTTTATTTAATTTCTCTATAATTGGAAGGATATTTTGTTCTTTTAAGTTGTACTATTATTTTGAATCTATTGCGATTATATCTATTTGATTAAATGTTTTTGGGGGAATATATTAATACAATTTAATTTATTTCATAGGGACGAAGCACTAACATAATTAAAGCAGAAATTGGCATTGGGGTATTCCCACAAAATGATGCGCCATGTCTAAAATCAGAAATAATCGCTTATCAAAAAAAGTTAACTCTAGACAAATGATTTTATTCGTACCCATTGATAGCTTATCTTAATTGTTCATATAAACAAAAAATGGTCTAATTTTGGGAATACATTTTATTATATCTTTAAGAATTTAGCATAATGTACAACTAGCAATATGGCTGACATATTTTCTAAAGCATTTGCTAAAGTAGTTTGCTGTGGCCTTCATCGAAAACAGGCTAACCCAGTTTCCAGTTGGCTCGTCTATTATTCTGACCAACTTGGCCATATGTTTGCCTTGTCCAAGAGCTGGCAAAAGCCTCGTCATGAGCCTTAAGCCTTGGCCAAGTGTGCACAACAAGAAAACAAGGGGAGGGCAGGCAGGTTTGTGGCTATAAAAAATGTTCCCTCGGCTGTTGCGTCTGGGTATCCTCCGGCAAGGAATTGCCGGGTGCAGGGGGGGGGGGGAGGGGGAATAAATAAATAAAACAGGCAACTAAATTATACGCGCTGACGTTTGCTGACGTCGCTTAACGCATTGTTGCTGCCGCTGCCAACATGAAAATATTCACTGAACTGTAAAAATATCAACAAGTTGTTTGCTCTTCAATTTTTGCCACACACAAGCTCACACATACACACACAGTTGTGATTGTGTTGGGGCTGTTCTTGTGGTGCCTGGGCCTGTTATTGTTGTCGTTTTTGTTGTTGTTGCTTAGCCTGGGCTAGCGCAGCTGCTGAATAACAAGTACCAAGAACGTTGGCAACAACACAATTAACGTGTCCGCAGGCAGTGCGGCCTGAAAATAACTTAATAATAACGGCATATGGAAAATTTGTGACAACAAAATGGAAATGCGGTTGCTTTGCGGCCAGTCAAAGCTGCTCGCATACTCCGTCCCTCTCTCGCTCTCTCTCTCTCTCTCTTTCTCTCTCTTATATGTACCTTCTATATACGTAGAGTATATATCTTTGCGGTTAGCCAACGCCTTGACTCTGCAATTGACAGCCGCAATGAATATTTGATGAATTCACAATGGCATATGCTACGCTCTATGGCCAAATCTGAGACTTATATCAATATTTGTTATGTGCGTGTGTGTGTGCATGGGGTTAGGTTATGTGCCGTTTCGTAATTGAAAAGTATGGCAAAGCCGTCTTTTTGAATTGGCCTGTCAACGCTGAGCGCTGTTAGCGGCTTGACAGCAAAAGCGTTGCCTACTTTTAAGCGCGCCCGAAAATGTTAAGCCCAATGCTGGGCACATTAAAAGCAACCAATACACAGGCAGCGACCGCAGCAGCGGCAGCGACTGCGACAGCGACAGCAGCTAAAAGCAAACAGCAAAAACGGCTGCTCTAACGGGATATCTAAAAATAGAAATGAAATCGCGCGCACGTACACACAGAAACACATACACACGCACACACACACACACACATTATATGTACGCTGGCTTGCATACCAAAAGAGGCTGGCCGCCATTTTGTGCAGCAGCCGCCCACGCGTTGCGTAGGTGTAGCTGACTCTGTGTGAGCAAGTGTGTGTGTGTGTGTGTGTTTGTATTTGTGTATTTTTGTATATTATGACTCGCAATGATTGTAATGCTACACTAAGCCCGCTGGCTCTGGAGTGCAAAGCAACAACTACAACAACAATGACAGCATAAAATAAAATTCTTTTTATGTATGTATATTTATTTTTTTTTTTTTTTGGTAAAATCGGCTGAGCCACAAGCTGCTTGCCAGCTGTCGTGCTGCCTCCTCTGTGGCAAACACCTACGCAATTTCCTGCAAGCCCAACAGCGGAAAATGGAAAGCGCTGCTGTTAAGCGAAATGGCGAATTTGTTGGGTTTTGGCCGATGCCAAAGGGAGCAAGGTGGGGGAGGGGCGTTGAGGCGGCAAGCGGAGATGAGCAACACAGACAGGATGCTGGGTGGTCCGTTGCCTTCTGCATTTTAAGCGCGCGTGGGCGTTTTGCTTAATGTGCTCAACTTACAAGTTACACGCACACACATTTACATGTACAGTAAAACACAGCTAAGCTGCACACGAAACTTGCCGAAGCGCTTGTTAAATTGCATTTTAGCTGATATAAAAATGAAAACAATTTGATTTTTGTTATTAGATTTCATTTTATATTAGAAAAATGCTTGAAGACTTTTTTTTATAAATTAAGAGCTAACTTTAAAAAAGGATTTAATAATATAACAAATTTGTTTGTTAACAGAAAATGAAACTTCGATTAAAATATGTATTTCTATGTTTGGGGATTGTTTTTATATACTTTTTCCTCTCTCTCTTCAAACAATAATTTTTTTTTAATCAAAATCTATCTGCTTATATAGACTTGGTATTAAAAACAATATGCTTAGCCGCATTTTTTTTTTGTAAACATTTCTATATATACCTATAAAAAAGTTGAAGCATATTTATCGAAACAAAATAAGTTTTGTTTTACTCAAAACAAGAAAAATATTTTGTTTTCCTAATTCAATATTCAAATAATAAATAAATATTTCTAATAATCATTAAAGTAGGAAACGAAACGAAATTAATTTGTTAAAAAAAAATTTCTTAATACGTTTGTAACTTCTTTAAAAGCACTTTCTAAAAGCAAAGAAATTTCAATATATTTTAGATAAAAGCAAAAACCAAACACACTTAAAATGCGCTCACTTTTGTTAGGTTTTACCGTGCACACACAAACACACACACAGAGGGAGAGGATACTTATGCCGCAGTCAGTAACAAGGCGGGTCTATGGGGCGTATGTCCATTTTTCAAACATGAAATTTTCAAATGACCTTTAACATTAACGGCACGTTCCGCCTGACGTATGTGGGCACTGTGTCGACCCACGCACTTGAAAAAATATGAACTTTGGCACTCACCTGCCGGCAGTTCCCGCTGCTGCTGCTGCTGTTGTTGCTGCTGCTGTTGCAGCTTGTTGTTCGCATTGGTGGATAGCTCTGTATTCTGGGCCAGCACAGATGCTGGCACCGCTGCCGCCAAGCCGACTAGCAGCAGGAGCAGCGCCAGCAGCATGCTCTGCCCATTTCCGGACGCTGACAATGATAACTGCATATTCAAACACACACACACGGTTCACGAGTGAAAGACGTTTGTTAAGTGTCCCAATTATGGGCCTGATCAGATGGACAAATGACCGATGCAGCCTCCTTCTTCAACTGGTCTTTGTTGTTTGCTTTCAGAGTTCAGAGTTTAGAGCTTCAATGGTTCGGGCTGGCTGGTTGGCTGCTTGTCCGCGTGCTGTGACTGTTCTGAATGAACTGTCTTCTTGCTGCCGTAGTGCAACAGTTTTTAATGTTCAATCGCCCCAAATTCGGTTTGCAGCCGAAGGCAGCGGCTGGCTGGCTCGTCGTTGTCTGCACAGCCATCTACGTCATTGTCATTGATAAGAATTGCGGCCGTCTGCAAATTAAACAAGCCAACAGGCTCTGCTTACGTACTTTCTGCCTGGCCAAATGCTTGCAATGCGCCTGCTCCAACTCTGCACACAATTTCCGCCCCTCACATATCTGTATCAATTACATATATGTGTATATATATATAAGCCTAAACTGTTACCCTCTCTGGAGTTGGCGGTTCCAGTTCCAGTTTGTGAACTTCGTTCATTATTTACATTTTTGTGTTATTCTCTTTAGCATTTTAATATTCATTTTGTATTATTTTTATTTTGGTAATATATTACCATATGTAGATGCCAAATTGCTAAACCATGATCAAGAGCCAAACATCGTAAAAATCGGTTGAGATATGATCAAGCTATGGGGGTGGGCAACTTGGACCTATGTCGATATAGGATATTTGAGAGTACCATTTTGACATGAAATTTGACCAAAAATGTTGTTGCCAGATTTGGATGCAGAATTGATAATGGGGCCAAACCATGAATAAAAATCCTAGCCTTATGAAAATCGGATGAGATTTGACCAAGTTATGGGGGTGGGAAGTTTTGACCATATCTAAATAGGATATTTGAGAGTACCATTTTGACATGAATTTTGACCAAAAATGTTGTTGCCAGATTTGGATGCAGAATTGATAATGGGGCCAAACCATGAATAAAAATCCTAGCCTTATGAAAATCGGATGAGATTTGACCAAGTTATGGGGGTGGGAAGTTTTGACCATATCTAAATAGGATATTTGAGGGTACCATTTTGACATGAATTTTGACCAAAAATGTTGTTGCCAGATTTGAATGCAGAATTGATCTAGAGGCCAAACCATTAACAAAAAGCCTAGCCTTATGAAAATCGGTTGAGATTTGAACAAGTTATGGGGGTGGGAAATTTGGACCTATGTCGCTATAGGATATTTGAGGGTACCATTTTGACATGAATTTTGACCAAAAATTTTGTTGCTAGATTTGGATGCAGAGTTGATAATGAGGCCAAACCATGAACAAAAAGCCTAGCCTTATGAAAATCGGTTGAGATTTGACCAAGTTATGGGGGTGGGAAGTTTTGACCATATCTAAATAGGATATTTGAGAGTACCATTTTGACATGAATTTTGACCAAAAATGTTGTTGTCAGATTTGAATGCAGAATTGATCTAGAGGCCAAACCATGAACAAAAAACTTATCCTTATGAAAATCGGTTGAGATTTGACCAAGTTATGGGGTTGGGAAGTTTTGACCATATCTATATAGAATATTTGAGGGTACCATTTTGACATGAATTTTGACCAAAAATGTTGTTGTCAGATTTGAATGCAGAATTGATCTAGAGGCCAAACCAAGAATAAAACGCCAAGCCTTATGAAAATCGGTTGAGATTTGACCAAGTTATGGGGTTGGGAAGTTTTGACCATATCTATATAGAATATTTGAGGGTACCATTTTGACATGAATTTTGACCAAAAATTTTGTTGCCAGATTTGAATGCAGAATTGATCTAGAAGCCAAACCATGAACAAAACGCCAAGCCTTATGAAAATCGGTTGAGATTTGACCAACTTATGGGGGTGGGAAATTTGGACCTATGTCGCTATAGGATATTTGAGGGTACCATTTTGACATGAATTTTGACCAAAAATTTTGTTGCTAGATTTGGATGCAGAGTTGATAATGAGGCCAAACCATGAACAAAAAGCCTAGCCTTATGAAAATCGGTTGAGATTTGACCAAGTTATGGGGGTGGGAAGTTTTGACCATATCTAAATAGGATATTTGAGAGTACCATTTTGACATGAATTTTGACCAAAAATGTTGTTGTCAGATTTGAATGCAGAATTGATCTAGAGGCCAAACCATGAACAAAAAACTTATCCTTATGAAAATCGGTTGAGATTTGACCAAGTTATGGGGTTGGGAAGTTTTGACCATATCTATATAGAATATTTGAGGGTACCATTTTGACATGAATTTTGACCAAAAATGTTGTTGTCAGATTTGAATGCAGAATTGATCTAGAGGCCAAACCATGAATAAAACGCCAAGCCTTATGAAAATCGGTTGAGATTTGACCAAGTTATGGGGTTGGGAAGTTTTGACCATATCTATATAGAATATTTGAGGGTACCATTTTGACATGAATTTTGACCAAAAATTTTGTTGCCAGATTTGAATGCAGAATTGATCTAGAAGCCAAACCATGAACAAAACGCCAAGCCTTATGAAAATCGGTTGAGATTTGACCAACTTATGGGGGTGGGAAATTTGGACCTATGTCGCTATAGGATATTTGAGAGTACCATTTTGACATGAATTTTAACCAAAAATGTTGTTGCCAGATTTGGATGCAGAATTGATAATGGGGCCAAACCATGAACAAAAAGCCTAACCTTATGAAAATCGGTTGAGATTTGACCAAGTTATGGGGGTGGGAAGTTTTGACCATATCTATATAGGATATTTGAGGGTACCATTTTGACATGAATTTTGACCAAAAATGTTGTTGCCAGATTTGAATGCAGAATTGATCTAGAGGCCAAACCATGAATAAAACGCCATGCCTTATGAAAATCAGTTGAGATTTGACCTAGTTATGGGGTTGGGAAGTTTTGACCATATCTATATAGAATATTTGAGGGTACCATTTTGACATGAATTTTGACCAAAAATGTTGTTGTCAGATTTGAATGCAGAATTGATCTAGAGGCCAAACCATGAATAAAACGCCAAGCCTTATGAAAATCGGTTGAGATTTGACCAAGTTATGGGGTTGGGAAGTTTTGACCATATCTATATAGAATATTTGAGGGTACCATTTTGACATGAATTTTGACCAAAAATGTTGTTGTCAGATTTGAATGCAGAATTGATCTAGAGGCCAAACCATGAATAAAACGCCAAGCCTTATGAAAATCGGTTGAGATTTGACCAAGTTATGGGGTTGGGAAGTTTTGACCATATCTATATAGAATATTTGAGGGTACCATTTTGACATGAATTTTGACCAAAAATCTTGTTGTCAGATTTGAATGCAGAATTGATCTAGAGGCCAAACCATGAATAAAACGCCAAGCCTTATGAAAATCGGTTGAGATTTGACCAACTTATGGGGGTGGGAAATTTGGACCATATCTATATAGAATATTTGAGGGTACCATTTTGACATGAATTTTGACCAAAAATGTTGTTGTCAGATTTGAATGCAGAATTGATCTAGAGGCCAAACCATGAATAAAACGCCAAGCCTTATGAAAATCGGTTCAGATTTGACCAACTTATGGGGGTGGGAAATTTGGACCCATGTCGCTATAGGATATTTGTGAGTACCATTTTGACATGAATTTTGACCAAAAATGTTGTTGTCAGATTTGAATGCAGAATTGATCTAGAGGCCAAACCATGAATAAAACGCCAAGCCTTATGAAAATCGGTTGAGATTTGACCAAGTTATGGGGTTGGGAAGTTTTGACCATATCTATATAGAATATTTGAGGGTACCATTTTGACATGAATTTTGACCAAAAATGTTGTTGTCAGATTTGAATGCAGAATTGATCTAGAGGCCAAACCATGAATAAAACGCCAAGCCTTATGAAAATCGGTTGAGATTTGACCAAGTTATGGGGTTGGGAAGTTTTGACCATATCTATATAGAATATTTGAGGGTACCATTTTGACATGAATTTTGACCAAAAATGTTGTTGTCAGATTTGAATGCAGAATTGATCTAGAGGCCAAACCATGAATAAAACGCCAAGCCTTATGAAAATCGGTTCAGATTTGACCAACTTATGGGGGTGGGAAGTTTTGACCATATCTATATAGAATATTTGAGGGTACCATTTTGACATGAATTTTGACCAAAAATTTTGTTGCCAGATTTGAATGCAGAATTGATCTAGAAGCCAAACCATGAACAAAACGCCAAGCCTTATGAAAATCGGTTGAGATTTGACCAACTTATGGGGGTGGAAAATTTGGACCTATGTCGCTATAGGATATTTGTGAGTACCATTTTGACATGATTTATAACCAAAAATGTTGTTGCCAGATTTGGATGCAGAATTGATAATGGGGCCAAACCATGAACAAAAAGCCTAACCTTATGAAAATCGGTTGAGATTTGACCAAGTTATTGGGGTGGGAAGTTTTGACTATGTCTATATAGGATATTTGAGGTTACCATTTTGACATGAATTTTGACCAAAATTTTTGATGCCAGATTTGAATGCAGCATTGATAATGAGGCCAAACCATGAACAAAACGCCAAGCCTTATGAAAATCGGTTGAGATTTGACCAAGTTATTGGGGTGGGAAGTTTTGACCACATCTATATAGGATATTTGAGGGTACCATTTTGACATGAATTTTGACCAAAAATTTTGTTGCCAGATTTGAATGCAGAATTGATCTAGAAGCCAAACCATGAACAAAACGCCAAGCCTTATGAAAATCGGTTGAGATTTGACCAACTTATGGGGGTGGGAAATTTGGACCTATGTCGCTATAGGATATTTGAGAGTACCATTTTGACATGAATTTTAACCAAAAATGTTGTTGCCAGATTTGGATGCAGAATTGATAATGGGGCCAAACCATGAACAAAAAGCCTAACCTTATGAAAATCGGTTGAGATTTGACCAAGTTATGGGGGTGGGAAGTTTTGACCATATCTATATAGGATATTTGAGGGTACCATTTTGACATGAATTTTGACCAAAAATGTTGTTGCCAGATTTGAATGCAGAATTGATCTAGAGGCCAAACCATGAATAAAACGCCAAGCCTTATGAAAATCAGTTGAGATTTGACCAAGTTATGGGGTTGGGAAGTTTTGACCATATCTATATAGAATATTTGAGGGTACCATTTTGACATGAATTTTGACCAAAAATGTTGTTGTCAGATTTGAACGCAGAATTGATCTAGAGGCCAAACCATGAATAAAACGCCAAGCCTTATGAAAATCGGTTGAGATTTGACCAAGTTATGGGGTTGGGAAGTTTTGACCATATCTATATAGAATATTTGAGGGTACCATTTTGACATGAATTTTGACCAAAAATGTTGTTGTCAGATTTGGATGCAGAATTGATCTAGAGGCCAAACCATGAATAAAACGCCAAGCCTTATGAAAATCGGTTGAGATTTGACGAAGTTATGGGGTTGGGAAGTTTTGACCATATCTATATAGAATATTTGAGGGTACCATTTTGACATGAATTTTGACCAAAAATGTTGTTGTCAGATTTGAATGCAGAATTGATCTAGAGGCCAAACCATGAATAAAACGCCAAGCCTTATGAAAATCGGTTGAGATTTGACCAAGTTATGGGGTTGGGAATTGATCTAGAGGCCAAACCATGAATAAAACGCCAAGCCTTATGAAAATCGGTTGAGATTTGACCTAGTTATGGGGTTGGGAAGTTTTGACCATATCTATATAGAATATTTGAGGGTACCATTTTGACATGAATTTTGACCAAAAATGTTGTTGTCAGATTTGAATGCAGAATTGATCTAGAGGCCAAACCATGAATAAAACGCCAAGCCTTATGAAAATCGGTTGAGATTTGACCAAGTTATGGGGTTGGGAAGTTTTGACCATATCTATATAGAATATTTGAGGGTACCATTTTGACATGAATTTTGACCAAAAATGTTGTTGTCAGATTTGAATGCAGAATTGATCTAGAGGCCAAACCATGAATAAAACGCCAAGCCTTATGAAAATCGGTTGAGATTTGACCAACTTATGGGGGTGGGAAATTTGGACCCATGTCGCTATAGGATATTTGTGAGTACCATTTTGATATGAATTTTGACCAAAAATGTTGTTGTCAGATTTGAATGCAGAATTGATCTAGAGGCCAAACCATGAATAAAACGCCAAGCCTTATGAAAATCGGTTGAGATTTGACCAAGTTATGGGGTTGGGAAGTTTTGACCATATCTATATAGAATATTTGAGGGTACCATTTTGACATGAATTTTGACCAAAAATGTTGTTGCCAGATTTGAATGCAGAATTGATCTAGAGGCCAAACCATGAATAAAACGCCAAGCCTTATGAAAATCGGTTGAGATTTGACCAAGTTATGGGGTTGGGAAGTTTTGACCATATCTATATAGAATATTTGAGGGTACCATTTTGACATGAATTTTGACCAAAAATGTTGTCAGATTTGAATGCAGAATTGATCTAGAGGCCAAACCATGAATAAAACGCCAAGCCTTATGAAAATCGGTTGAGATTTGACCAACTTATGGGGGTGGGAAATTTGGACCATATCTATATAGAATATTTGAGGGTACCATTTTGACATGAATTTTGACCAAAAATGTTGTTGTCAGATTTGAATGCAGAATTGATCTAGAGGCCAAACCATGAATAAAACGCCAAGCCTTATGAAAATCGGTTGAGATTTGACCAAGTATCGGTTGAGATTTGACCAAGTTATGGGGTTGGGAAGTTTTGACCATATCTATATAGAATATTTGAGGGTACCATTTTGACATGAATTTTGACCAAAAATATTGTTGTCAGATTTGAATGCAGAATTGATCTAGAGGCCAAACCATGAATAAAACGCCAAGCCTTATGAAAATCGGTTGAGATTTGACCAAGTTATGGGGTTGGGAAGTTTTGACCATATCTATATAGAATATTTGAGGGTACCATTTTGACATGAATTTTGACCAAAAATGTTGTTGTCAGATTTGAATGCAGAATTGATCTAGAGGCCAAACCATGAATAAAACGCCAAGCCTTATGAAAATCGGTTCAGATTTGACCAACTTATGGGGGTGGGAAATTTGGACCCATGTCGCTATAGGATATTTGTGAGTACCATTTTGACATGAATTTTGACCAAAAATGTTGTTGTTAGATTTGAATGCAGAATTGATCTAGAGGCCAAACCATGAATAAAACGCCAAGCCTTATGAAAATCGGTTGAGATTTGACCAAGTTATGGGGTTGGGAAGTTTTGACCATATCTATATAGAATATTTGAGGGTACCATTTTGACATGAATTTTGACCAAAAATGTTGTTGTCAGATTTGAATGCAGAATTGATCTAGAGGCCAAACCATGAATAAAACGCCAAGCCTTATGAAAATCGGTTGAGATTTGACCTAGTTATGGGGTTGGGAAGTTTTGACCATATCTATATAGAATATTTGAGGGTACCATTTTGACATGAATTTTGACCAAAAATGTTGTTGTCAGATTTGAAGGCAGAATTGATCTAGAGGCCAAACCATGAATAAAACGCCAAGCCTTATGAAAATCGGTTGAGATTTGACCTAGTTATGGGGTTGGGAAGTTTTGACCATATCTATATAGAATATTTGAGGGTACCATTTTGACATGAATTTTGACCAAAAATGTTGTTGTCAGATTTGAATGCAGAATTGATCTAGAGGCCAAACCATGAATAAAACGCCAAGCCTTATGAAAATCGGTTGAGATTTGACCTAGTTATGGGGTTGGGAAGTTTTGACCATATCTATATAGAATATTTGAGGGTACCATTTTGACATGAATTTTGACCAAAAATGTTGTTGCCAGATTTGAATGCAGAATTGATCTAGAAGCCAAACCATGAACAAAACGCCAAGCCTTATGAAAATCGGTTGAGATTTGACCAACTTATGGGGGTGGGAAATTTGGACCTATGTCGCTATAGGATATTTGAGAGTACCATTTTGACATGAATTTTAACCAAAAATGTTGTTGCCAGATTTGGATGCAGAATTGATAATGGGGTCAAACCATGAACAAAAAGCCTAACCTTATGAAAATCGGTTGAGATTTGACCAAGTTATGGGGGTGGGAAGTTTTGACCATATCTATATAGGATATTTGAGGGTACCATTTTGACATGAATTTTGACCAAAAATGTTGTTGTCAGATTTGAATGCAGAATTGATCTAGAGGCCAAACCATGAATAAAACGCCAAGCCTTATGAAAATCGGTTGAGATTTGACCAAGTTATGGGGTTGGGAAGTTTTGACCATATCTATATAGAATATTTGAGGGTACCATTTTGACATGAATTTTGACCAAAAATGTTGTTGCCAGATTTGAATGCAGAATTGATAATGAGGCCAAACCATGAACAAAAAGCCTAACCTTATGAAAATCGGTTGAGATTTGACCAACTTATGGGGTTGGGAAGTTTTGACCATATCTATATAGAATATTTGAGGGTACCATTTTGACATGAATTTTGACCAAAAATGTTGTTGCCAGATTTGAATGCAGAATTGATAATGAGGCCAAACCATGAACAAAAAGCCTAACCTTATGAAAATCGGTTGAGATTTGACCAAGTTATGGGGTTGGGAAGTTTTGACCATATCTATATAGAATATTTGAGGGTACCATTTTGACATGAATTTTGACCAAAAATGTTGTTGTCAGATTTGAAGGCAGAATTGATCTAGAGGCCAAACCATGAATAAAACGCCAAGCCTTATGAAAATCGGTTGAGATTTGACCAAGTTATGGGGTTGGGAAGTTTTGACCATATCTATATAGAATATTTGAGGGTACCATTTTGACATGAATTTTGACCAAAAATTTTGTTGCCAGATTTGAATGCAGAATTGATCTAGAAGCCAAACCATGAACAAAACGCCAAGCCTTATGAAAATCGGTTGAGATTTGACCAACTTATGGGGGTGGGAAATTTGGACCTATGTCGCTATAGGATATTTGAGAGTACCATTTTGACATGAATTTTAACCAAAAATGTTGTTGCCAGATTTGGATGCAGAATTGATAATGAGGCCAAACCATGAACAAAAAGCCTAGCCTTATGAAAATCGGTTGAGATTTGACCAACTTATGGGGGTGGGAAATTTGGACCTATGTCGCTATAGGATATTTGAGAGTACCATTTTGACATGAATTTTGACCAAAAATGATGTTGCCAGATTTGGATGCAGAATTGATAATTAGGCCAAACCATGAACAATAAGCCTAGCCTTATGAAACTCGGTTGAGATTTGACCAAGTTATGGGGGTGGGAAGTTTTGACCACATCTATATAGGATATTTGAGGGTACCATTTTGACATGAATTTTGACCAAAAATGTTGTTGCCAGATTTGAATGCAGAATTGATCTAGAGGCCAAATCATGAACTAAACGCCAAACCTTATGATAACCGGCTGAGATTTGACCAAGTTATAGGGGTGGGGAATTTGGACCCATGTCTAAGTCATTTACTTTTATGTTTCAATGACTCCCCAACTGTAGATTTGCTAATGTGAATCCAGAACTATAACTCTAAATTGTATAAAAATGCACCTAATTTTGAATATAATACATGTTTATTTATACCTCATTTAGTTGCAATAAATATCTTGTTATAATCTTTACATGTTGTAAGTCTCAAGGCTTCTAAGGTGTATGTATTTCGGATTATATTTTCGTTTTCTTTTTGTTGCACTTATAATTTAAGTATCGAGCTGAAAGGTCAGATAGTTTAACGATCTTGCGTTGTGTATCGTGTCGTATGTTACATTTGCAATATGAATCGAACAAGATCCGTATAAAAAGAAGGTTAAGACTACAATTTGTCATCTAATCGAAGGAAGGAAAACATTGCCAATAAATATAACTAGAAACAGGGCGTTACGCATTGCACATGTCTGTGTGTGTGTGTGTGTGAACAGAAGTGTGTTCGTGGGGGGATGTGGCCTGACTAATGTATATGGCCTGATCTCTACAGATGCTCTATTTGGCATTCTCGAGCACCTCGACAATGTGCTTGGAGACGAGAGCAGTGGCCTCGGTGGCATTTGGTATCAGGAAACGGTCCATGTCGGTGATGAGCAGCCCGTCGCCGTCGAGAAAACCGTATTTGAATGTAATCAAATCGCGATGCCGCTTCTTAGCCGTGATCTTAACGATGCTGGCCAGTGGACGGCGCACCATAATCTGGGCCTGACCGCGTCCCAATTCGCGCAACACCACCAAATGGGTGGGCGTTATGATCAGATGGCTATCGTACATATAGCCATTGATGTGCACATCCCGGCACTTGAACGCATTGATAATGTCCGCCGTCTTGAAATATTGATTGAGATTAACAATTTCCTTGTTAACGCCCGACGCCTGCGGCGTATCCCGTTCACCATCGTCGTATGTCTCCTCGTTCTCATCGTCGATGCTGAAGACGGGCGCCACATTCCGATAACGTTTCCCATTGCGATCCTTTGCGCTCACATGTCGCTCCTGGGCGGCCTGGGTCTGCGCGGCGCCATTGTTGGAGGTGCTGGCGGCGCCATTTGAACTGGGATTCACAATGATGTCCAGTAGACGGCCCTTGACCTCGGCCGATTTGCTTTTCATGGCCGCGGAGAATTTGCTAAACAGATCCGTGGAGGACGGCGTTGTTGCTGGTGCCTTGAGCGGTGCGGATTTTGACTAAAATTGTTGAAGGATTATAAAAAATAGTTTCTGCAGTATTGGAATTGGATTACCTGTTTGACATTGTGTTGTTGGCACACGAGACATTTGCTCACGCTGTGATCCTCCAGGCAGTCGGCCATGTGATCGCCAAAGTAGTCATGAATGGAGGCATATCCGCCGCTCAGTAAGGACACGTAGTGTGTGTTCTTTTGCAGGAATGAGGCCACCACCATGTGCGTATATTGATCCTCCTCGACACGGCCGCTGCCCATAAAGCACAAATGCTCACCGCCCGCGTTCGAATTGACCTCAATGGCCTGCTTCTGTGCGGTGAGCAGGCCCTGGACAGCGGTGGCAAAGGCGACCGGCTCCTGTAGCATCAGATTGCAGTCGAGATGAAATGCGGTGGACAAATGGCCCGCATTGTACTGTTCGGCTGGACGGCAGTCCACGAGAAAGAAGCGTACGGCATCCTGTACAGGGAATTCAGTGGCTGAATTCTCGACCAGCTCATAGACGGAGACGGGTAGACAAAGTGCTTGGGATACTTTATTGGACTCCTCCTGGCTGCGTGGCGTATCATTCTGTTTGCCGTACAGTGCCTTCAGGTAATCCGTCTTGAAGGATGTGGGCGTTTTCAGCGCATAATATTGGGCCAGGGAGCAAAAGTCGGGCACATCGTCCACCTCCAAGGCGCACGGCATGTTGATCAGAAACTTGATGATGTCCTCCTTCGAAGCGCTTTTCATCAGCATTATCTGTTCGCGTCCATTGATGAGAATAATCAACGCCAGAAAGAAGACCATAAACGGATCGGCATTCTGGAAATACAAATCCCACATGGCAATAATCACAGACAGACTGCTGCAGGAGGCGAATAGCGATTGAAACCAGGTCAAGGAATAGAGGTCGGGTGTGATCTTCTTGGTGTCCAGCACGGTGCACAGCTCCGGATCGTGATAGAGCAAAAGCAAACGAAATACATGGAAGACATTGCCCTTGGGCTTGCAGCCTTTCGGTATATATGTGTCCCGTATGGATTCGAACAGATTGAAGGTGTCCGAACGATTCAGTTTGAGTGCGAATAGCGGCAGAAGCAGCTCGATCCAACCATTTTCGGGTTCGTATTGCAAATTGCGATTTTTACAATAGAAGGTCATAATCGATTCCAGATCGGAAACAACCGAAACTTTGTCCTCCTCATCGTTGCCCATGCGTTCCACATAACGTTGGCAATCCTCACGCAATTGACTTTGAAATGGCAGATCGTAGATCTCATTGAAGAGCGACATTTGATCGCTTTTGTGGCGCACATCGAGGCACACTTGCCACACATCCGGACGTAATGCCTCCGGCAGTTGTTTGCCCTGGCAAATGCTATATATATCATTCACATTGCAGTCGTCCAGCAGCGCCGATTCCAGCTCAATTATCCTGCAAGTTCACAAAGACAAACACTTGAATTATTTACCGTTAGTACAGCACAGCTTTTGCTCTCATACAAACACGCAGCCAGGCTGAAAAGAGATTGAAAGAGAGAAACGCTTTCAACCGATCGCCCACCCACTCCCACTTTATTGTCTCTCTTCCCCCTTCTCCCTCTATCTCTCTTCGTCACCCTCTCAAGGCTGGACTAATTCGTTTGTTTTCGCTTAATTCAACGTGTCCAACTTGGCACAGCTGTTGCTGATAACATTAAAAAAAAAGTTGCATATCTGTTTGGCTGCTGACTCAAAAATTTGCTGGCTTCTTCACTATCTTTCCCTCTTTGTCGCACGCATAGCAGGTATGCCAGCAGGGCAAGGCCAATGCGTAGTCCTCACAACAATGTGCTCGTTATTTTATATTTATATTATAACAATTACTAACTGGCCGCTGACGTCGCTGCCGACGTCTACTGTGTGCGAGCAGAGTCAATGTTTATTTACCACATATTCTCCTCCATGTCCGTGGGGCCCACATATACAGTTGCACTGTTGGCAAATTTGTCTTTGGCTTGCTTTTAGTAGCGTTTATCTATTGCACTCTTAACGCTTTTGGCAACAGATTTTTGCTCATTTTTGGTACGTTTGGAATAAATGTTGAATTTCGTTAGGATTCGCCAAAAATTGCTTTACTGTGTATGAGTTAATGTTTTCTTATTGGAAGTATTTTGTGGCGGCACACCGATTACTGCCGATAAATGTATGCGCGAGCACGATATCGGTAGGGATGCCAACTATTTTTCTTCTCGTGTCGCCCAGTCACTGTGAATGTTTGAACTGGTAGTCCGCTCGCAAAAATTCAAGCAAAACATTTAATTTGAAACGTTCAACAATTAATGCAGCTGCTGCTCATCGTATGTCAATTAAATCAAATAAAACGCACCAAACAGTTTGCTATTAAGGAAATTATTTTCTAAGCATTAGACAGTTGGTGCAACGTGCGTCAAGTAAGGTAAGTGGTTGGGGTAAGTGCACCCGAGCACACGACACACACACGCACATGCACACGCACATGCACACGCACACGGGCAAATACAGTTTGCAAAAACAAAACAAAAGCATTATTTTTATTTTGTGCTTTTGCAACTAATGGCACATATATGCGCATATTTATACATACGGCTGCACACATTGATGCAGCCTTCACCCAAATAATGCATCTATTGATTTTGCATATGCATTTTGTTGCATTGCCAAGCGGCATTACTTGCAAGAATCACGTATGCGTGTGCATGTGTGTGTCTGCGTGTGCGTGTGTGTTTTTTGACCTCACGAGTCAACAACCAGCAACAGCTGTCCTGTCGCTCCAGTTTGGCTTCGTGCCCCCTCACCCCCTTTTCTGCCTTGTCGCAAGCCCAAGAGTGCTTTTAACAGCTTCACGTTTTCTTTGTGTGTGTTGTCAGTGCATTTGTGCCGCAGTCGCAGCCACGTGTGTCGCTTGGCATTTGCATAGCGGCACGTAGATTGCAATTTTTCGATACCTTATGCTCATTATAAATGACTAAAAAGTAGGGTATGTCTCAGCTGTGCAGCTGTGTGTAACAGAGAGCCGACTCGAACTAAAGAAAGAATAAAAGTTAAAGACTCCAAGCTAGGGTTATAAGTATATTATTGTATACAATAAGTTTATTTAAGGTCTTAAATCGATAATTATCGATAACTGCTTAAGGTCACAGCAGCTTGCTGCTTGGTAAAGGGTATCTTCTAGTCGAACACTCGCAAATGTCACATTCTTACTTGTTGTTTACATACATTTTAATTGCGTCTTCTTTGTATACAGATGAAACAACGCTCTGCAACAAGTGGCAGCAACAATAACTCGTTTGCCAACAACAGCAACATTAACATCAACAATAATAGCAACTTTGGACAGCAGCAGCTGCATGCAACGGCGGCAGCAGGCCAGCAACAACAGCTGTTAAAATCAGCGCAGATTGTTAGCGAATGGGATGATGGCATTATCTTTGATGTAGATGATCCAGACTTTTGCCCCGGCCCGCCACCTGCCGTTATTGACAAGCTGACAACAGCCACGAATAGCTGTGCTGCAGCGTTACGGAATTTGAATTTTATAGGTGAGTAGCCTATATTTACGATTATCAGCAACTGATTAACATAATGCAGCTAGTAACAGCACATTACAACGAGCCGAAAGTAACATAGCACAGCCTTCTCTCAGCAAAACATCACATTGTTAGTAACAGCAGGCCACAAACGGTTTCATATACTAGTAAAAGGCAAATTGGTTTGCTTAATAAGATAATTTATGGGAATATGTTCACGTGTATTTAATTTTTCTACTTTCAATTGAATGTAATTTGTGAGGAAATTGTTTGTTGTTGTTTCTAACATTGCGCTGAAAATGTTATCAATGCCATCTGCTCAAGACTCATTAGAACGGGCAATTTAGACACTAAAATTTATATTGTCTGACCTTAGAGGCGGCATTGATAAGAATTTGCCAGAAAATACCCTAGTTCTTAATTTAAAACAAAACAAAACAAAGAAAAAGAGATGGTCTGAATCAGAATTTCTAATTGAAATTTCTCACTTAAAATTTTGGGTGGACGGACGCGTCAAGGTTCAAACCAAAACCTTGGCTAATGGATGTTCACGAATATATGGGCGAGACATTGATTCGTTTTGTAACCATTCACAAATATTGATTGTTAAATTTCATATTTAATAGCAATACATATGCTGCTGTTAGCAACAGAGATCTAGTATGATGTTAGCTAACATAAGTTTGAGCATTAACAGCGCCTGCTTATTATCATGCGCAATATCTGTTAAATTGAATATTTATAACAGTTGCCTAACAGAGTGTACATAAATCAGTTCCTCAAAAGAATTTCTTGAGACGATGCCAACAAAAATGTTGCCTGGCACGGAAAAACAAATTCAGTTCAGTTTTTATACGAATACTTCCATGGGGATTCCCTTGTAAAGCTCTATATATAAAGATAGAGGAGCTGTAATTGATGTTTTTAATGTCGACTAATATTAGCACACGTTGCTGTCCACGATTAGACTTATTTATAGACGCGCGAGTCTAGACAAACAGTGCACGAGAATACCTTATTACTATAAATATTTACGATCGATCTGCTGATAGACCTAAAACTGGAAAATTTATTTTGCACTGTTTACCATTGCGAAGAGCGTGTGCTGACTGGCAGCTAGTTATATATATATATATATACATATGCATATGTCTGGCTTATCAGCTGCGTTTTTTCCAGCTCGCTTATTAACAGGTGCGTGGGCGTGGTCGCTATTTAAGTAAGTCTCCATACGCTTGGTGCACATATAATATATATAGAGTATATAGTATATACATATGTATATATATAAATGCTGGTACTTGTACTTATCCATATCGCGTCCCTGTGCTCTTTGTGCGACCCACTTGCAATTCTTTTTTGTTGCTTTATATATGATTGAGCGGAAACTGGCGCACACTTTTATTAACATCAATTGCCAGCGATAGTCAGCTTTATCGCTCAAGTGGCTCCCTCCTCTAATATATTTATGTATATAATGCCAAATACGCGTTCTATCAATTTATATTTTAGACCAGTTCTTGCTGCTTCAAAGTTCACACTCAAGCATTGTCATCGGTCATGCATGCAACAATAATCGATAACCAAGTAATCGATGTCCTTTTATATTTAGCAACATGTTCCATTATTTGTAGAGACAATTAATTATGTGCAACAAGAAGGAATAGCTCGATTAATGCTCACATGGACATCAATCAAATTAGGTTTGTGACAGCTATATGATATCATGTCATAATCTATCGATTGATCCAAATGTCAATCAATCACACTTGATGTATTTGAAGCGGAAATATTTATTTGTTGGCTGGCTCGAGGTCCGTGTTTGTTAAAACAAACAATGAAAAACAATTTTATTCAATTCTCTTCCGATATATTTCGGTTGCACATCGGCAAACCGTCTTCAGGGCACTAACACCAAGATACAAAAAACAATTAACAATTATAATACAATAAATTAAACATTATTTCGAACATTTTACATACATTATTTTACACGTCTGCGCTTTTTGACGTGGAGATTGTTACTGAGGTTGTTTGACTGTTTAAGAGGTGTCTGTACAAGTGAGCGCAATTTTCTGTGTCTGTCTTGTAGTTTAGTCGTTTGTAGGTTGGTGTGTTAATTATGTGTAGCATTTCCAATGTGTGTCGCTTGTTATAGTGTTGTTCTTGTTGTAAGATTGTTGTTTCATCAAAATTTGGTGTGTGGTTGCTTCTTATACAATGGGTCATAAGTGCTGTTTTCTGTATATTATTTTGATGTCTTAGTTTGAAGTCCGATTTATGTTGACTTCAAACTAAGACATCAAAATAATATACAGAAAACAGCACTTATGACCCATTGTATAAGAAGCAACCACACACCAAATTTTGATGAAACAACAATCTTACAACAAGAACAACACTATAACAAGCGACACACATTGGAAATGCTACACATAATTAACACACCAACCTACAAACGACTAAACTACAAGACAGACACAGAAAATTGCGCTCACTTGTACAGACACCTCTTAAACAGTCAAACAACCTCAGTAACAATCTCCACGTCAAAAAGCGCAGACGTGTAAAATAATGTATGTAAAATGTTCGAAATAATGTTTAATTTATTGTATTATAATTGTTAATTGTTTTTTGTATCTTGGTGTTAGTGCCCTGAAGACGGTTTGCCGATGTGCAACCGAAATATATCGGAAGAGAATTGAATAAAATTGTTTTTCATTGTTTGTTTTAACAAACACGGACCTCGAGCCAGCCAACAAATAAATATTGAAATATGGAAAGGTCGCCAGAGCCATCAATAAATATGAAGCGGAAATATATAAATTTAGATATAGTTATCTGTGTTCCTATGGAAATATAGAATAGAATATGTCCCTTATTTTTGAGCAAATACTTGATGGATTGATTAACTTAAGCAGGTCTTCCATTATGGTTCAGCTAATCTTTTTTAGATTCCCAGATTTGTGGACCTATCGTCTCGACTTAACCAAAAGATAAACCCACTTAATATTCTCTTAGTTCATTTTGAAATTGTATAATTGTTTAAAAGACTTTATTCAAAAATTGTATTCTATGTAAAACCCCAATTTTCTCTCAATAGATGCACTAATGTTCTAAATACAAAAGATTATAAAAATAAATAATAGTTCTAATTGACGTTATATAATATAGTTACATATTTTATATGATATATTATATGATTGGTCGATGTTCATCATACCCAATATATTAAAAAAATTAGTTTGCATATACATACAGCATAGTAATGCAATTAATGGGTAAACTAATAAGCAAAGTTCTTTATAGCTTTTGTGGTAAAAGTGCCAAAGTCGGGGCTAAATCGGCACAGCTCAACGACCTGATTAAAGAAATATAAATGTACATTTGTTTAGTTGACAGGAAATATGTACATATATGTATATAGTTGTTCGGAAATGACTTCTTCCATGCGTTACGCATTCGTAATTCTGGTTAAAAACAAAAAAAGAAAAAAAAAACATCCATTGACCATCAATCAATTAATGTACGTGCCCTGTTATGGGCCTTCGAGCATAGCCAAAAAAAAAATATTTTGCCATTTTGTGCTAATTATTGTCTCGCTCTCTTTTGTGGGTTTTATCAGCGATCTGATTAGCCATATAAACAAAGCGTGCGGCTCGCTTATTCACACGTTTCTGTTGTCTCTGGAAATTTATGAAATTCACGCGTTTATCATGTGACTCTCGGAACTCTCGGCCCTGCCTCTCCTACCATTTGCCTAGGGTACTACGAATTGTGCAAACATTAATCACGCTGCGTTCGGGGATTATGCATGTTAAACTGAACAACTTAACTTATTACTTTCCATTTTTTTAATGTTTGCGTGTGGCGCTACAAAGTCCACCATTTTCCGTCTTGTTCTTTATTTAAGTGGCCCTCGACACGTGTGGATCGTTTAGTTAATTTACAAAGCCGACAATCAGGCTAACACCCACCACGAAGCTCTTGCGTGTGTCAAGCTATAAGAACTGTAACCCTGGATAGGGAGGGGGCCGTGGTGCGGCGTGTTTATAATTGAGCAATGTATTTTTATGTAGTTGTTGGTAAAGCAAAAATTGAAATGATTAGCACATTAATTTTTATTTTCCAACATGAGTTAAATTACAAGCATACAGTATTCAGCAGCAGGCGTGTCTTTTATATACTTATGTATATGCGAATATGTACAGAGTTGTTGTTCTTTTTATACCCTTGTAGAGGATATTCTAGTTTTCTTAGAAATTGTGTAACGCTTAGTGGGTGGATCTATATATATGTATATATTCTAGAGCAGCATCAGCCGAGTTATTAGAGCCGTGCCCATCCGTTCGTCTGTCTGTATCTTTGCGATCTAGTCTCTCGACTTTAATCGGCCGAAAAATAGAGTCTGTTCTGAAGGACCTTTTCACCAAACTCCGCATTTACAAGCTGTCTAAAGGGTATTAAATCTTCGACATGCCAAAGATATGCTTTATTTCTCGTTATATTTTAATTCAGATAATCTATAAATCAACTCTTGGACCATCATTTTTTGTTTTGGTTGAATTTTTGTGGAGTTCAAGCTTTTACTGAAAGTTGAATAAGAGCTACAATTTAAACGATTTACTTAAAATTTTGACTACACACTTATTTCAGACACAAAAGTTATTAAAAAATCTTAAAATGTACATACCTGATTTGGGTCTAGGGCAACGCAAAGTCGAGCACTCGTAAGTTTTATACTCTGCTTATTTTTGGCTTTTACTATTTGCTGATGCAAATGCGATTAGTCAATTATCAGAAACCATATCGCAAGATCTTCGGCAGTTCTAAAAATAATTAAACAAACATAAAAAGAAAAGCTTGAAAATAATTCTATATAACGCTATCGACGTAAAACCTGAGTCAAAAAATAAATAATGGCTGGCATGTTATGCTGAAACGTATTCGCAAATCTGCTCTATAAATATTTATATTTACATTTAGATTTATATTGAATTTAAGTTTTATCACTTAAGCCACAGCTAGAGGTTATTTTGTACAGAGCTTAAAAACCAGAAGTTTTTTGTATTTTATTTGCTTTGGCATCATATTTCCGAATGAATGGGAAAGCAACATGAGTAGCTATATCTTTATTATAAGGCATATGTCTTGTAAATATTATATATCACATACTACGACTGTTTTTTAAGGTCTGGCTTTGTTTAATATATAATATTATAGATATGGGCTTCTGTCACCAGTTCCTTATAACACATGAATCTGGCGCTATCATACATTTCTCGGTATTCAATAGACAAGTCTGGCAATTCGTATGAAAGGTGTACTCTTAGTTAATGCGGCATAGGATTACTTTTTATTGTAAATTAATAGTTGACTACAGCAGTGATTCCTTTTTTTATGCCCTGTATCCATAGACAATGGGTTAAATGATTTCGTGCAGTTGTATGTAACAGGCAGAGGGAAATACGTCGTTGTATTTTATTGAGAATTGAGAAAAATGTACTTTATGCTTTGGTATATACACGCTTGTGTATGCCATAGTTCAGCGAAGTTTCATAAAGATCGGACTTCAAACGCCGATCTCAATCAAGAATGGGGAAAGAGTTATTAGAGCTCCCGAAGCGCTGTCATTAGCAATAACTACAGGGTATCTGCCAGTCGTGGCCCAGCTTAAACTGTTGTATTTTACTTTTATTTGTTGGCTGGTATTTCTCAATGTAATTACCTTATCTTTATAATTAGACAAACGTTATCGTTTATATGATGATCATGATTTGCATCTTATCTTCGCACTCCGAATAATGAATCACAGCCAGACCCAGACAGAGCACTTGCTTGCACAATACCCGTCCTTATAGTCTGTCTCTATCTCTTATATCATTATCGATTGAGATTCACCAGACATTGACCTGCCCCTCGTACCGCTTCTCAATTCATTGCCGTGTCTGATTATCGTATATTAAATATTACAAATTATTATAAAATTACTCAGAATGAATTTGGAACTAAAGTTTTTGCTCCCAACGGCCCAGTCCGGGGCCGTCATGCACTTTAGCTTACATAAACGTCGCGCTTTTATGCAATGGCTTATTAAAACGACAAACGTAATGACAAATTTTAAAAATAAAATCGTTTTCAATTTCGCACTGCATTTTCCCTGCCCCCCCCTTGCACTCGGCTGCCTACCTCTTTCCCTTCGAACTGTGTCTGGTTGATTTTGCATGCGAGAAATCGTTCCGCTGCTTTTATGTTCCCATGCTCATTATAGACAAAAACCAAATGGTACGCCACGCGCAGACTATTTATACCCTGTAATTGCAGCTTGTAGGGTATATGCATTCTTTGTCAAAATTTGAAGTGAATTTTGTGTGGATTAAAACATTTATAAATGTAATAAATTCTATTTTTAATTAAATCACATCTAATCTTCAACCTTAATCCATTATTATCATATCTTTTGACATTGCGAAACTCAATTGCTTCAAAATTTCCATCACTTTATTTAATTTGTATTATGGATTTTTTATTTTCACCCAAAAAGTTCCTATGGCAAATATTTTAAAAGTGAAAATGAATTGCCAAATACAAATAACATCCGAATTCACATTTGCATTTGAAATTATCGAATGATAAATAGTCGATGTAATTTGTAGTTGATACACACATAAGTTTTGAATATGATGTATCATATAAATCACTTATAAATTATCTACTTAACAAGTTCTGCTTTTAACACTTGAATGTTACAAAGTTGTACAGTTGGCGTTAACTCATCATGTTTTTCCATGACACCTTAAATATTTGTTGTATTCCAATTGGATTAACAGTTACATCCAACTAGTTCAAGCCTGTTCTAGAATTGGTTGCGAATTACAAGCGCAAACAATGGGCAAATTAATTTTGTAAACCATTCAAAATACGACGTCATAACGTTATCAAATCTATTAATTATTAACGCTTGATTCATGTAGAGTATATGTATAGGGTATATCCTATATTATGAGATATATATGGTTTTTTTTTCTTTTTTGTTTGGAACAATAACATGTGATTTCAAAATGTCGTCGGTCCAAGTTTGCTTTAATATAAAAAGCCAACAAAAGAAACGATTTTTAAAAATGGCTAGAAAGGGTATCATGATTTTGCTTAAAAGTATGTAGCACAGGCAGAAGGAAGCATCTTTACATTATATACGACAGGACAGGACAATGTTCGTATGTATGAAAATGTCGATCTGACTTATCCATATACATAATTCTATTTCTCATAACGTCAATAAAAAAGGCTTGCTTTTCTGACCACAACTTTGATATTTTTTTGGTATACAAATATTAAAGCATATTATTTCGATATATTCAATATTTTACTCAAATCTGAAGTAGTTTTTTGTATATACTAAAATGTATTATACATTACACTGGGCTACTTGCCTGGGTAACCTCTAGTCGAGCATTATTGCCTAGAGTATTATTTTGCCTGTTTTATGCCTTTTTTTTTTTTGTTTATTTTTGGTTTATTTTAAATGTTGGCTATATCATCAACATTAGCAGCGCATGCGACACGAGGGGGCGCACAGCCATGCGCCGTGCCCATTGCCTCAGCCTCAGCTCGGCTCGACTTTGCCTGACGCAATGTTGTTGTTTTTGTTTTATTTTTTGTTATTATTTTTTAGCAGCTGATAAGCTGTCATGTCCACGCGTCGCCTCAAATTGCGCTGCGGTCAGGTCTGAAATACAATAAAAAAGCAAACTATAAAATAAATTTCAAAAAAAAAAAACCTGTGAAAATGCAATTCGATGATTGAGTTTGACCTTTTTGCCGCCTGTGTGTCATTAAATGTGCCATGAGGCGCCAGTGTGTGTGTGTGTGTGTGTGTGTGTATGTGCGGCCTCCAATCGATACGTTTGGGTGACAGCCACCGTTTATAACCTCAACACGAGTCAAGTAACCAGCTAATGGTTACCTGAGCCGAGCCGCGCCGCTGAAGCTGAAGCTAACTCTGACTCTGATGTTGGTGGCTTGTGGTGCTGCCTTCTAATGCCACCGCGACGAGTGTCAATGGAACGTGCGCAAATGTGGTTCATTTGAGACCATTTGGCATTCAGTCGAGCTCAGGGCTGGTGTACTTTTGAGGGGCAGGTCGCTCGACAACGCATTCTTTACGATATACGCTACATGCGCCTACCGTGTGTACAGTGATAGCTCTCATAACGAACTGCTACACATACATTTTAATACTCAAGCCGTGGCGTAAGCAACACTTGACCTGAAGCCAACTCTTGCCTTGTAGTGAAAGATATTATAAAGCTTTCTAGTGCCTAGGCAAACATTTTCTTCTAGCGCTAAAAATTACTCGTCATTTGGACTTTCAAAACGGACCAAAACTTGAAAGAATTGTACTTTTTCTTTAATTAATTTAATTGTAAAATCAATTTTTTTATTTTTTGGCATTTAATTTTTAACATATTTAAATTAGATTTGAAAGCGTGGGCGTTCGCTTTAGACAGCTTTCACTGTATATACTATTCTATGCTTATGTGTATTGATTTCCATTTAAATTGCGCTTCATTCATTCATTGCAGCGCTTCATTGTTTTATCAATTTACAATTTTAACACACACTTAAAGCAGGCACACTCACACACACACATGCACTAGACACACATACACACACACACTATACTGAACTGGCATCAGTTATGTCGTGCGACAAACGACTACGACATTATTTAGTAGCAGTCGGTTTAAACTGGAAACTTAACTCATCTCAGCTTGTTGTAGATCTCTCTAGTGTGTATCTGTGTGTGTGTCTGTTTTTTGTGTGTGTGTGTGTTTGTACTGTTCAAACGATTCGTGCGACGCAAATCTAACACAAATGCCAGAGAGACGCTCATCATCGTGTTGATGACGACGTCAGCCAGTTAAAAAGTAGTAAAAAAAAACGTCAACTAAATAGTCGGTCAGACCACTTGAGTAGCCAGATATTTACTATATATATATATATACATATATATATACATACATAAGTATGCTTAGCTAGCCTGGGGCCCTACTTAGTTAAACAAATCCGGACTTAACTCAACTTGTCACGTGTAATTAGCAGAAATTTCGAGCAAAGCAAATAATTAAGTGTGAATCCAGGCGAAACTGTTAATTGCATTGTTTACCCTATATCTCGACTCCAAGAAATCGAACTGCATCATTAGTTTATTAATTAATCACGAGAATCTGGCGTGTTATGCGCCAGATACTGGCAGGGAATTAAGAAAAAATAGATGTTTATTATTTTTTGGAATTTTGCGAAAGTTAGCTCGAAGTTTTACGCAAGACGTAATATTTAAGGATTTCTTTTTAAAGGTCTAATATATGATCTAAATTTGAAGATATATATAACTATATATAATATACTTACTCTATACGTTCTTTGTTCCACATTCTGCGACCAAATCCCAAACTCTATTTAAATTGTTTTTGGTTCTATAAATGTGCCGGGGGCTGTACCCAAAATGTGGAGGCCTGTTCTAATTACGTCTAGGGTTTTTTTTCTATTTGTTACTATTTGGTTTGCGCATTTCGCGATGCAAATGCGGTTCAGATAATACGAAATACGTACATGGACTTTATAGCGTTCAATGTACGCGCCGTGTGGGGCAATTCCCTATGTAATACTATACTCAAAGTACAAATATTAAAAGTTCTATATTCAGTTCAATAAATAGTACGTTAAGTATATATACATATATTTATATATGTATGTAACTATGCATAATGTGACGCCAGCAATGCCCTGAGAGTATTTTTATAACAATTCCCAAGAATTCTATATGCACAAATAAATGTGAATACATATATGTGCGGGGGATAACAATGTATATAACATATATATAATTTATGCGTATATAGAGAAACTTATCTCCCAGCTGCATAATGGATCCATTGTATCATAAATGATGCAGGTAATTGAGTTAAACATTAGTTGAATAGCTTTCACATGTGACTACTTGGAGCATTGATTTGATTGAATCGCACCAGAAAAGTTTTCTAGAATTATCGCAAACACGCCCCTCAGTGGTCTACAATTATAGAAAATCATCAATAACTAAAAACAGTTTCAAAAACATTTGTTAATTCCTAATCGAAAGCTTTTATAGCTCGTTCTTTATATAGCTAAGATAAAAGTATAATTGATGTAGGCCGTGTACAAAGTGTAAAACTTTCCTAAACAACTCAACTTACTCGCCAAATTCCTGTTGTTTAACGCTAAATGCCAGCTGACATGCCCCACATTATCGCCAATCAATAAAAGATTGATTACATACGCCATATTAACGATAAGGCCTTGGCCTATGTAATTTATCAATATCTAATAACATTGCAATTTGTATGGCAAATGGTTTGGAAATGTGGTTGCAAATGTGCAAATAACAATGCTTATTGAATTAACAGCTGTTTTTATTCGTACACTAACTGCATTCCGGCTTTTTACAGTCATGTCAAGCCCTGTTAATAATCGGAACATATTTTACATTCTGATAAAACTCTTAAGCAATTCAAAATACTAGTACGTTAGGGCTTGATTGGGACGTAGATTGCCGATAATGCTCTGAAAAACCATTACGTATATTGCAATAACATTTTTTGCATAACAGCTGTTAGTTTTGCTAACATCATGTTAATAAAAGACTGTTCAAATAGAGTGTTACAGTGGTTCTCTATGTTATTTAACAGAATGTTATTTAAAACTATGTTAGCGATCCGAATATGCTTCGAATGCTGGAATAAAACATGTTTTTCTTATATATCAAAAACTAGTTCCTCTAGTTTTTACTAAAATATTAGCTCACAGGTTCTTTCCGCAATTCAAACAATTTTTCATTTTATGCAGATCATTCTATCCATGAAACCATGCAAATTTCTTGAGCTCAACTATTTGCGAAGCAAATACAGACGCATATGCAAATACGCAGAATATGGCGATGCATGAAGAGACGTTGGGCTTAAGTTCAGGGTATCGGAACTTTTTATTTCTAATATGCCCCGTCGTTCATATATAAAATTCGCACACTTCTAATTGCCATTGTCAACAGCTGTGCATTATCTTTCCCATCCATCTATCTATCAACTCGTGAGTTAATAGCTATTTTATTTTTCACTTCACTCTCATCTTGCGGCGGCTCAATGGAAGACCGCTATCTACTATATCAATATACATACATTGAGTCGTAATATATTCATACTAACTACGTTTAGATATTTTTTTCCCCGCATAAATTAAGTCAACAATTGTTGGAACGTTTGTGCGCACAAATCTATCAGCGAGGGAAGCCCGCAAAATATTTTATATATAGAAATATTATTTTGAAAAGAAAAAAAAAACAAAACTCGTTTCGATTTGCGCTGAACTCATTTGCATTTGATTGGCGCCATTAATTTGGAATTTCTCAGTCTGATATTTGCTGTTGCTAGATTTCTGTGTAAGTCGTGAATCACCCGTGACTGATCCACTGATCAAAACAATGCATCTGTGGCACCTTCTTCATTTTTTGTGGGTGTACTGTTATATTGTCGCTGCTTTTCCTGATTTTTGCACAATGACGTCAACGGCTTTTGTGTTTTTAGCTGGGGCGGCACATTTGGCGCACAACATCTGATCGCAGCCTTTTAGCAGGCAAACATATCATCCATCCAATAAATATGTATTTATTTACAATTGACAGCCACTTGCAGGAGCAGCTTTGTTTGCATAGCTGCGTTTGTGAAACAAATGAAAACGAGTTGTTTCAACTGTTGCAGACTTCAAGAGGAAGCGCATGTCTTTAAGCAGCACTTGTATCTGTATCTGTTACCTTTTTGGCGAATGCGCATATTCACAATTCAACGAGGTTTGCTTTAAGAGTACGGGTTTTATTATTAATTCGCTAACGATCGTGAAATATAGGTGAAACGCTTTTGTCACTCATTTTGGTATTTGGTATTCATAAGCTCGTATGCAAATTTAATGGCTATAATTGAAATTTACGGCCATGATAAGAAAATGTGTGAAAGCTGCGGAAATTTATAAATGCAGTTATTAAATGACAAAGAATATAATTTCTCAGAGAATATATTTCGCCTGAACCAGCAAATGGTTCGAATCATAGGCAAGTATAAGTAACATAGGGATACGAGCTAATATATTCTATATCCTAGGAATACTATATTTAGCAATACAAACAAATGAAGTAAATGAAAACTGAGCATATTTATTTTTGGAAATTGTTTTACATAGCTGCCAGGGTTGCAACCTTTGCATGAAGCTAGCTCTCAAGCGACCTGTGCATGCACATATGTACATAGTATATGTGCATATATTTATATTTCAAGCAGGTAACTCAAATATGTATCACAAATACACAACAAATACGAACGCAGCTCAACACTTAATAACTTTTTAAAAGGTTTGCAAAATATTGTTTAAATATTATTTGGTTCGACTTGTTATAAATATATATAGATGTATATGTATATATATATATATATATCTATATGTTTGTTCGTGCATTGTTTTGTCTGTGGCTTATTGGTACACATTAATATCGCTCACGTCTGTTGTCTGACGCAATCTTTTTGAGCGCTGCGGAGAGGTGTTTCAAGTAATTGCCGCGCGACCTTCTCAGATGACAATGGTCTTCCCCTCCGAGTGAAAATATATGAATGTAAATCTGGCCCCAACAACAATGCGAAACTGCGCCGCATCCAAAGTTGAATGCCAGTCAAAAAGTGTGCCGTTGGCATATGACAGAAGTAGAGGATCATGATGACGACGATGATGTTCTATGCCCTTCTAAATAAACATCAATTGTTTATAATATCAAATGCAAGTTTGTCTCTATCTGTATGTGTGTGTGTGTGCGAGAACGCGGTTCTGTTGACGTAGCTGCTGCTGAGTTGCATTATTTTTGGCGAGGGTCACTTTTGAGTTGATCTCTGGCTGCTCCGGTTTTTCGTAGACCCCAGCGAAATTTGAGCTGCGACTGACGCGACGCGCGACTCGTGTAGACTGCGAAAGTGCAACAAATAAAAAATAAATTAAAAAAAAAAAAAAAGAAACCAAAACACACAAATCCCGATTAACATGCGAATATATTGTAGTTGGTTTTTAGCACTTGCGTTGGCAATTTCCATTCGCCCAACAAGGGGCGAGGTTTGCCCTGCTTCATATAGCTTAGACTTTGATATGGGCTGCCTATACAGGTGTTTTAGATTTCATGCTTGATTCAGAACCACGCGTCGATAAGATTATGTGTACATATTATATTTAAGATAAGCATCGTGCATGGGATAATCAGTTCCAGTTAAGTCATAAAGCGCAGGTCGCGCTTATTTATGTTACCTGCTGTTGGCCGAATTTGATGATCTCTTTGCCCTGTCTGCCTGTCCCTGCACCCCCTGCTGTACTCTACCTGTCGCCGGCCATATATTATTTGTTATTCAAATGAAACGCTGTCATTGCTGACGCTTGTTGCTGCGCCGTGTTTTTTTTTTGTTTTGCCTGTATTTTCTTGTCCAAATCATCTACGTCAACAACCCCTCGAGTTTACATTTAGTCAATGTACTAGACTTGTTCCACGCGGCGTATACGTAGTGTAGAGTATCAGTGTGTGTGTGTGTGTGTGCGTTTGGGGTTTCAATATTTTTGTTTTTTTTTTTTTGTTGCCTTGCGGTTTGACCGTTAAACGAACGCGCGCGCGCGCGCGCTCTCAATTATTATCGCGCTCTCTCATTCGCTCTCACTGGCTGCTCACAGTATATGCTCTTGCGAAGAGTGGCAAAAGAAACAACAGTTGTTTGGTGTTGTTGCTCTTATCATCGGCCTCTGTTGCCAACTACATAAATACACACTTACATATAGCGTCAATTTGGCCAGCATCTGCTGACTTGGTTTCTGTTTTATTTATTTTATTTTTCTTTGGCATTAACTTTGATTTACCCTATGCCACGCCGTTCTGCGTTTCGCAGTTTTTAGTGTGTTAGTGTATTGGTGCGCATTTTCAAATTTCAGGCTGACAAGTTCGTTAGCTTTGCTTTGTCATGCCCACACACACACACACACATACACATATACAGCTGTGAGCACTCGATCGCTCGCTCGTTTGCTCTCTCGCACTCAGCAACAGCGGCTGCAATATCACTGCGCTCACTCACAGCTTGCTGTTACTGTTGCTCGCTCACTCTCTCGCTCGCACACGTCCGCTGAATTTGCTATAAAAGCGAGTGGCAATCAGCGACTTCATTTGAGTAATTTTTGTGTTGTCGTGCACGCCACTTGGTCTTTAGGCTTTTGTTAAACTACAGCAAGTTTAAATAAAAACAAAAACAGATTCCAACTAGAAAGCCCAACTATAAAAGTGTGCTGCAGCTTCTGTCACAATATTTATTAACATTTACCAAAACATATTTTGTGCGAATTTCGTGTGTTTAACTGTTGCGAAGCGCGTGTGTGAAAAGTTAAACAAAAAAAAAAAAACCAAAAGCAAACTTTTAATTGCAATTATTTAAAAGCAATTGTACAAGCAATTTCATTATTGTTGTCGCTTACGCAAGGCCAACTATATAACAATACAACCAAATTTGGATTATTAATAGCGCATAATAAATATTTTTGCGCCGTTAGCAATCAGATATTCTGTAAAAGCAGCTAACAGCAACCACAACAAATTGTAAGTATTTCCGTGCCCAAAATAAACTCAACAGCACACACACACATACAGATGCGTGTATGTGTGTGTGTGTGTGTGTGTGCCCTTCTATAAATAAAGCACATCAAATTTAATTAAATGCAACTAGTTGTGAGTTGCAGGCTGCCGCATTGCATGCCAAGTCTATATATAGAAACAATCATATACATATGAATGTATGCATACATACATATACATATCTGTCTCTACACGAGTGCGAGCGTGTGCAAAAAAAAAAGTTAGAGTTTACAGTTGCAGTTGCGTTGCCCGCCATTTGCTTTGAAAACTTCATTGCCGATGCACAGCACACTTTATAAATGCACTCAATTAACATAACATTAACATAACATTTACATTTGCATGCGGCCAACTTGTTGCAGTCTCTTTATTTTTTACACTTGAGCTTTAAATTTAGCACGTACCGTTAATTTGATAACATTTTTAAATGCGCGTCTCCGTCTCACATGATCCACTAAATATAGCAACAATAAAAACAAGTAAAAAAAAAAAAACAGGGAAATTATATGATGTTCGGCAGGCAACGGACGCAATCATGTGTTGTCCGCAGAGTGTCAAAAATAAAAATTTTGCAATGCTGCCAAAATCAGAAAGATTTGCACACAACATCGACATCCCACCGACCCCCCCTCACCCACAATAAACCGTGAAACCCCTGTCCAACGGCAGACACGACGCTCGTGCCGCCATTAAGCTAAAAATACACCAATGCATTGCATATACACATACACACATATGTATATATCTATCGGCGATGTACATACACAGCTTCCATGACAATTTAGTTGGAAATGTAAAACTCAAATTTAATTGCCTTCGCCATACCTAAATTAATGTTTACAGGGTATAACAATAATTTGCTATGACGCATCTCAATACACAAGCTGTGTTGAGTTGTGTGTGGCCTTTACGTTGGCGCTTTCAACCGGATTTTTGTGCGTTTTCTTAATTATATATTGCAGAATGTCGTTTATTGACCAGCACTTAAAGTATATTGACCATTAAGCTGGAAAATTGTTGAAAGCAAGTGTTGTCTTGGTACAGTTGTGCTTGGCTTTGGTCAATGCAAACAATGTATTTTGTTTTTTTTTTTGTTTTTGTGTGACATTTAAGTGTTTTATAATACCCACACACACACACACACACACACACATAATCATAATGAACTTCACAACACTCGCAGCAGCTGCACAGCTAGCTTGTTTACCTTCGTGCGTTTGTTTACCTGTATTTTGATTTTGATTATTATTTTTTTTTAACTTACTCGTTTTGCCCCTGACATATGGTATATGTATTTGCGGGGATACCCGCTCGCTTTGTGATTTAATTTTTGGTATTAATGTTTTTCCTTATTTCTGGTTTTTCATTGCAGTGCCAACAGCAACAGCAACAGCAACAGCAGCAACTATGTCGAGTGCCAGCGTACACGCTCCCCAAATTGCCGACATTTGCAGTCCACTGGCGTAAGTAAAAGTTGAGATACATGTGCATTATATGTCCAATAAATACGCAGTTACAGCTACACAGATAGATTAGCTAATAGATACATTGCGAAACACACACAGATACAGATACAGATGCAGATACAGATACATATGTATGTATCAGCATATCTATCTATGGCCAGATTGCTCATACGCCTTGTGATTCACGGCTGTATTTAGCTGGAAGCGCCATTTCCGTTTTTATTGAGTGACAATCGCCGAACCCCCCCTTTTTGTTCATTAGCCCCTTCCCCCGTTAATGATACATTCGCTGGATGTGCGAAATTTTTGTTAGTGGGCTTCGTAAACAAAGTCAGGGCCAGTTATGGAGAATTGACAGTTAACGCGAACCGTGTCGCTGACAGTGGCTGTAACAGTGACTGTCACAGTGGCTGTCAAATGCTTAATGCCTGCGCTTATGCATGGGCCCCCATTCATAGTTTTGCAATCTAATCGCGAACAGGGTGCAGAGTACAACCAACAAATCAACTTGGCCCCGACTTTGGCTGCCATTAACAAAATGCCGCATACTGCATTATGTTTTTGTTGTTGTTCTAGTCTGATACCAGGCAAAGGGGCATTATCATAAGCTCTCAGCCGACGCTCTCACTCGCTCTCTCTCTCTCTCTCTCTCTCTCTCTCTCTCTGTGTTTATCTGCCGCTCTCTTGCGCCAACAATAAAGGCTGGCGACGCCGCGACGTTCACATGATCGGGCGAAAGCTGTCGCTGACTCGCTGGCTGACTCGTCGTCTGTCGTTGGTACAGTCCCGAAACGCCGCTGTCGTCTCGCCGTCTCGTCGCCGTCATGCTGCTCATTATCATAATCACGCCAGCGACAGAGCACGCCATTCCCCAATGTCCGCCCACCGTGCAAGGTCATGGCCTGCCTTTCGCTGCGCCAGGTGCGCCTCGGGGTGAATGTTAGGCCCAAAGGGCATACAGACTTGTATGGGATTATATCAGAATAGGTTGAGGCAATGAGCCTATAGTTGAGCTCCTTTATATAGTAAAAGTTTAATGTATTTGATTTATTTAATATTCAATTAATTAAAATACAATTTGTCTTTCCTTTGAGGAGCAAACGTATCTGAGATTTATAGAGTTAAGCTCTTTTATCTTATCTGCTGGGAAAGTAAAAGATTACCTTGCCCCAAATTGTAGTCAGCAGCAGCTGCGAGCTGCTTTAAGCTGTTAGCATTTGTGTTACCACCCATCAATCTAGTTAAATGAATATTAAACTAAGTTAATTAAAGTCTTAAGTCTGAACGAATGCATTGTGCTTATGTGCGTCTTCTCTCTCTCTCTGCTTGCAGTCACCACAGCTTGGGTCTGTCTGCCTCGTTGCCGGATTTGGTTGGCAGCCCGTTGGAGATCAACATGGACAATGTGCTGACAATTGAGGAGCTGCGCCAGCATCTGGGCTCCTGCTTTACATGCGGCGTCTCCTGGACCGATGATCATGTATCGCTCGATTGCAGCGAATGCGGCGGCTACAGCCTGGAGCGTCCCTGTCCCCTGTGCGATGGCCAGTGCGGTGTCCAATGGAAACGTGACTTTGCCATGGTGAGTGTTGCCTGCCGCATGCCTGAGCACTGAGTGCAACAATAGCTAACCCCCTCTTCTTCTCGCCCTTGCAGTCGCATGCATGCAGTAAAGCGCGCTGGGTCGGCGTCTGCCTCAGTTTCCCGGAGGCGATGGCCGCTGCTGTGCAGCAGCTGCCCGTTGCCAGCAATACGGCCACAACGGCCACATCCTGTGCCGCTGCCGCTGCCGCAGCGCATCAGCTGCGTCTGGCGCAGGAACTGTGCTCGCGCCTGGAGCAGCTGTCGACGGCATCGTCGACGGCGCCAAATAAAATGACGCGTCTCTGAAGCGTTCGCGCCGGGCCGGCGTACTCTAGTACAGTGTTCCTTTTCAAAACGTGTTGGCGCCAACTAGACACAAGCACATGCATTATCAGCCACCTGCCACATGCCACATGCCACACATACATAAACATGAGCCAACAAAACAAACATTTATTATTTTATTGCTGCATTAGAGAGAGTCGCAGAGGAGGAACGAGCGCGTGGACGCCACTGGAGAATCTCTTTCTCTCTCTCTTTCTCTCTCACACACACTTCATATTTAAATTTAGTGCTTAATTTACTAAGCTTTTTTTATTAGTTCTTAGTGTTTTTTTTTTTATTTTTATTATTCTTCTTCTACTGAAAACAGTTTTTGTTGTTGTGCACGCGTTCGAGTTTTTGCGAATTAATGTAGCTTGTGTTGAATTAGCGTTAAGCAGTTAATTAATTATTTGTTTATACTGTAATTACGGCCACACACACACACAGAGAAACACATACATATTGAACAAGAAGAAGAGACTACATTTAGCTTGAACTTAAGTCCAGTTTAAGCGCCGCGCTGCGCAGTGATAACGGTGATATTAGCCAGAGAGAGAGAGAAAACAAAATCTAAACGCAAAATGTTCATTAACAAATAGTGAATTTAATAATTGTAGCTAAAAAACGCAAAGAAAGTCCAACGATTTAAATACCTAATTGTTAACATTTTAGTTGTTGTTGTTGCTTTTGCTTAGTGTCAAAACAAAAAACACATTTGCCAAATCAAAATCAAAATGTTAAAAAATTTGATAAACAACTCGTTGGAGAATTATTGCAACAAACAGAAATATTCAAAATAAAAACAAAGAATCTTCCGTAGAACGCCTAATGCTCAACACAGAAAAGCAACGCACAAAGAAAAACCAAGCTGAAAAGTGAAGAGAAAAAAAATATATGAAAATGAAAAGAAAAACAATTGGGAAAGTAAGCATTACTCAAAAGAAAGTTGAAGATTTTCTGTGAAAATCCATATGACATATACTATATACTAGAAGTTTATACCTTATATATACACATATACATAAACATATATATACATATATGTATATATACTACTATAGCTGCATAAAGTATACACATACATACACACATATATATATATATATACTATATATTTTTAATGTAGAGATATGTTTTGTAAAAAGACAAAAGCATATTTTTAAAATTAAAATATATTCAACAATTGTAATTGTATTTTTTGAAGGCGTGTTCGCCTTACACTCTTTATATATGTACATAAATATATGTACCATATGCAAATATATATATGCTATATATAATCGTCAAGTAGGGCTTAACACACGCCTGGCCTTATCAACACACATCAGATAGTGTGTTCCCGAGGGCTTTTAGCTTTTGCTTTTTTTTTTATTATTCGAAATGGGCACAAATTTCATCATCGTGACTTTTGTGAACCTAACAAATGGACTTTATATATGCGTTTGCATATAAATTTATTTAGTGGTAATTTAATTTAATGCTCGTTAATCTTCCAACTGTCATTTATTTAGCTTTGCCGTTTTAACGGTATACCACACACATACACACACACAAGCACACATATAGTTTATTGCCTTGTGCCACATTCACTTCCTTGTAGCTGGCTACAGGTTTGCTCACACACACACGCACACAGTGAGCGCTGTTAGTTTACAGCATTGTGCAGCATTTTGCCATTATATCATCTATATTTATATATATATATATTGGTAATGCTGTGTGGGCACCTAATTTACCGGAAAATGCCAAAGTGTGCAAAAACAAATTTACGGAATAATTATATTTCGCTTAATGGAAAATAATTAGTGGCAATTGATATGCCAGCAAATCTGTATATAACTACAAACAAAAAAAACAACTGTTATAACAAAATGAGCTAAGTTAAAAAAATAAATATATATGTATATAGCCAGAAATTATTTACATAAGCCCAGACACAAATCATAAAGCAAAATATATTTATTTTGTCTACCACCAAAATTTATAATTGAGCAAATTAAAAATTAATTAATGTACATAAACATTTATATTCTAGGATGAGCCTCAGCTTAGAAAGATTACAATATTTTATTGGTATTATTGAGTAAAGTTGAAAATTGATGGCAGAAATTCAAAATATATTTATATGTACATATATATAATGTAAGAAACAATGTACTAAAGCCTAGGCTAAGCCATTAAGCAAGACATAATTTATTTTATGCTCCCCCAAAATTAATAACAGTTTATCTAGAAAGGGAGTGGGAAATTGTGACCAATATCTGGGGAACTTTCATGGGCCTAAGCTCCTGAAAATTGGATGAGATTCGACCAAGTTATGGGGCTGGAAATTTCGACCTTTGTCTAATCGATGCATATACATTATACTTATATCTATACACATTAGCTTACAGGAATTGAATATATATTGAATATTGAATATATATATATATATATTAAGATTCATATAATTTGTAAATTTTATAGAGCTTACATAAAGGTAATTACCTTTGCTATAATTATTCTGATTATAATTATAGTAATTGTTGAGTTGCTTGCTGGGAAATGAGAAATTCCAGAAATATGAATTTACATTTTGTCTTAGCGCAAATTTTATTCAAATGTTTTTGGGTTTTCAACCATTTAGAGCAAAAAGTCCCCAGTTTATACAATGTGTATATTTAATAATATTCCATAATAATTTATATTGCCGACAGAAAATTGGAATTTTGCTTTAACTTGGGATTTTTCGCAAATCGAAAGTACTTTGGATGCTAAAATTATATCATTTTATGTATAATATATATATATAGAACAATAATACAATTATAACACATAATGTTATATATATATATATATATATAGTATATATATATATATATATATATATATAAATATATATATAACATTATGTGTTATAATTGTATTATTGTTCTCATTTATGTAATGCTTATTATCAGTTTAGCTGATATTAACTTTTGTTAGTTATAAGCTATTTTAATTGATTTAATCGATTTGCGACCTGTTCTTTGTTGTCTGTAAGGCAAACGCTAGCTACATTATTTATTTTCCGGCAATTTTACGATAATGCTTTATTCGTAAAGCCCCATTCAGTGAACCGCTGGCCCATTCATTATTATCAGTTCAAAAAATATTTTTATTCGGAATTTCCTGTACACGAGTGCAGATAAGTTAACGCTAAGCTAAACTAAATTTATTGCATGGATTTATTTGAAAAGTGCCACTAAATAGAACGAAAATTGTAAATTGTAAATGTGATTAGAGTATTCGGTAGTCTAATAGACGACGGCACGACCTTCGCTTACCTGCTTAATGCTAATTCGCGTGGGATGACCCAAGGCAGCAGCAGAGACTGCGACTGCGACTGCGGCAGCTGCGACGTCGCTGGTGTTTATACCAGGCGGACATGGCCAGGTTAACATCGCCTGCTCGGCGGGGAGCATGAGGAGAACAAGGCTTTTGTTATGGTTCAGTGGACACGGCAATTTACTCACAGCTGTGCGGCAGGTGCAGGTCCAGATGCAGGTCCGGTTCGTCGGCGGGCGCGGGACTGGGCAAATGCGATTCCAGCTGGTCGAGCAGCTCGCTCAACTCCTGCGCATCCTTGCTGATGCTGCACAGCTCCTCCTGTTGGAAGTCCGGATTGATTTGCTTGCACAGCAATATCTGGCTAATCACATTGCCCAGATTCGAGGGTGCGCCGCGAGCGGGTGCTAAATGCGCCAGGATCAGATTTATTTCTCGGATCAGCTACAGCCACTCACCATAGTAGTCGGTCATGTCGTAGGGCACCAGCTCTATAAGCCGATGGCTCCTGATGAGCTCGTGCCGGAACTGCTGCGTCAGCTGGTAGAGCAGCTGGAGCTGCAAGCGGCACTCACTGGAGCTGGCCGCCTGGCTGTGCCTGGACTGCGGCGTGATCAGATGCGCCGTCTGCTTGCAGGCATCCACGCAGCTGCGTCGCAGTCGACGGATCTTCTCGCGCAGCTCGGGCGAATCGCGCGTCTGGCCAATAAAGATGAGCAGCTCACGGAATTGAGCCACATGGCAGTTGATTTCCATGATGAGCTGTCAAACCAAAGAAAGGCGTCAGGCATTTATGCAGCTGGCCGAGCAGCAAAAGACTGCACCTTTTGTGGATCCCGCGTGGGCAACAGCAGCTGCGGCAAATAGATGGACAAACGATGCGCGATTATTGTCGAATTCCGTATGGCCAGAGCCGTGCTGCTGGTCACGCCCGCGCCCATTGCTGGCAGCTTCTCGCCATAGTCGAAGCCTCCAATGTGGGCCATGCTTTGATGCGGACTGCTGCTGCGGCAACTGTGACTGCTTCTGTCGTGGCATTTGTGCACCGCTCAAAAGTATGCTATAAAAAGTACAAGAGCAGGTTGTCTCACTGTGTGTGTATGGATGGGTGTGTGTGTGTGTGTCTTGTGCAAGCAAATTGCGGCCTGTCTCATTACCTTGTGTCAACAAGTCACGGCTGCTAAACAACAGCAAAACAAGAAGCAGTCAAGTATTGCTCGACTGCTGAGATACTCTGTAACCACAGTATTAAAGAAAAGTTCAAAAATTAGTATTTGTGATTTAAACATAAACTTCAATACAAGTTTACATAAATGTTACCGCTTTATGATAACAGCTAAATAGCAATACTTATAAATGTAAAAATCTGAAAGTTAAAAACCTAAAACTAAACTTTGTTGTTTTAGCTAGAATGTCACAAGCAGTGGCACACAACCAATATACCCTTTAGTCCATTTGAGACAAGAACACAAAAATAAATAAATAAAATTGCAGCATTGCTGCAGTTGCCAAGTTGTGTTGCATGTTGTAAGCATAATAACCATCTAATCAAACCATAATCACAACTGTTAGATAAAAAGGAAGAAGCAGAGCAGATGTGCAGATTTTCTAAAGAATAAAGTAAAGGGGAGGAACGAAAAACGTATAATTTTTAAGAAATAATTGTCTTTATAGAAGCAAAAATAATATAATTAATAATAAGAGATATAAATATTATATATATATATATATATGTTCATATATATGTATATATGAGTGTGTGTTAGTGTATGCTTGTATTTATGCATTTGTGTATATGTATGCATGCATGTTCGTTTTCTAATACCAAACGCAAACTTATTTGTCTCTGTACTGCCCATTTATATAAAACGAATTTTTACCAAGTGCTCTCCTCCTCGATTCTCATAAATTTAAGTAGGCCCTGCCGAAATTCAACGTAGGCTCCAACGGCTGGTGGAGGAGCAACTTGCGGCGGTGGAGCAGGAGGAGGTGGAGGTAAGTTGAAATGTATGTATGTAGGTGTACGCATGTTTGTATGTACGTATGCATGTATGTATATATGTATGCATGTGTGTATGTATGTGTATTTGTATGATGTATGTATGTATGCATGTATGTATGTATAATGTATGTATGCATGTATGCGTGTATGCATGCAAGTATGCATGTAAGTATGCATGTAAGTATGCATGAAAGTATGCATGTAAGTATTCATGTATGTATGCATGCATTTATGTATTTATACATGCATGTATGTATGCATGTTTGCATGCATTTATGCTTGCTTGCATACATTTATGCATGGGTGCAAGTACTTTTGCATGTATGCATGTATCTATATATGTATGCATGCTTGTATGAATACATGTATGTATGTATGTGTGCATGTATGTATGTGTGCATGTATGTATGTGTGTTTGTACGCTTGTTTGTTGTAAGCAAAAAAGATAGAATATATATGATATCCTAAAAAGACTTATTAAAAGTCATATTGGCATATTAGAAAAAGCACACAGCTCAATAATTGACAAAACCTTGATTTAATTTCTAGCTGTTAACAATTTGAATGCCGGCTACAACAATGATAAGCGATACGCCTTTAATCGTCATCATCTTCGCCCAAAATCGATGTGCCACTATTGGTGGGACTGGGATAATCTACATACAGATCCACGGTGTCGATGTCAATCATGTCCAACTCGTCGAAGATGGTCTCATCTCTGATTCCTTTTGTGGGATCCTGTAAACAGATTAACAAGGAAGAAAGGTAAGAGCTTTCTTAGGCTTTAAGTAAATCTAGCACTTACAACTCTAGCATATTTCCAACACGTGAGGGCATTCATATTGTTGCCCATTTGTAGATTGATCAACGCCAGGTAACCCCAAATATCTGGCACATGTGATCCAAATGTGGTGCATTGGATAAAACACTCCATTGCCTTGTTGTGCTCGTTCAACTTGTAGTAGGCCTTACCCATGAGATAGTTGCCGACCAGGGCAAGCAATTTGCCGACACTGGGATAATGCAGTGCATCAATTGTCAGCTGGTAGTTGCCCGCCTCAAAGGCCAAATAGGCCAGACGAAATTTGCTGAGTAAAAAGTTGTCACGACCCGGTGTAGCTGCTCTGCACTGTTGCAAATTGTGTGTATAATATTCGGCGGCACTCTCCATATTGCCGAGATAATACTCCACGTTGCCATTCAGCTGAGCATTAAAGCCGACCTAGACGGAGTTCGAGGTGGAAATGTGAATTAGAGCGCAGCATCGAGACATACTCAACAAGTTTTGGATGCTCGAGTCGGTCAAGACTCGAACTTGTCGGTTCGAACTGTTCGACAATCGAACATGCAGTTCGAACATGTGTTCGGGTTGGTTGAATAGTTTATTCAAACAGTGGTTAGCTCGATGCTCGAAAGTTCGAGTCTATTGGGTTTCTGCTGAATCGTTTGAGTATTCGAGTTCGATAGAAATGTGAATAACAGACGTCTGAACGTAAACTCACCAGCAGTTCCTCCGCACCGCTGCCCTCAAAGCTGAACGTCGTCACCTGAAAGTCTGGATCCAGTTGATTGAGAAATATCCTTAACTGTGTGCTTATCATATAGCTCTCCGCAAGGCTGCACTCGTGCTGCACATCCTCGAATATCACCTGACCGAACTCGTACAGGCCCAAGCGCACAAACATTTTGAAGGATTCGTAGAAAACGTAGCCGCGCTGATGATCAAATGTGGGATACACGTTCAGCGATATGCCCCACAGGCTGTAAGGCGCCGTGGAGCTGCTGGCACGCGGCTTCTTCAGGTGATCTTCCAAGCGCCAGCGTGCATACGAATGCCCGGGCGCATAATCGAAGCGTTTATAGTAGCAATAGAGGAGTATCCAACCATCCAATTGACGATCATTGTTTTCCGCATATTTCATTATGCTATTCAAGAGGCATTCGGTCGCATTGGCTGATACCAGCGGATCGGGATCGTCCCGTGTGCTCACATAGTCCAGGTAAATGCGTATCCAGCCGCTGTGAAGGCATACATTTCATTCTGCTACAAGTCTAGTTTCAGTTGACCGACTAGCAGATACCCTGTACGTAATTAGAAGTCGCTAAATCATCTCCGATGAGGCTTATGCAGACAGACAGATAGGTGAGGAGACAGACAGACAGACAGACAAATGGGCAGAGAGGCTGAGAGAGAGTTGGGCAAAGAGGTGGATAGAAAGGTGGGCAGAGAGGGGGTCAAAGAGGAAGACAGATTGGATGGGCTCAGCTGGGAGATACTTTTGTATCGTATTTCAACAGAATACCCTCCTTTTTTCAAGCACATTTTCAATGGGTACAGGGTATCTGACTGTTCATCACTTACGCAAGGTAATCGTGCATCACAGATAAAAGTTTTTGTGTTTTAAAGAAGGCTTTGGCTGCCACGTATTCACCGCGTTCCATGTTTGCGATTAAGTCATAGAACTCAAAGAGACTGGCAAAGGTATTCGTTCTTTCCTGAGAACGAAAAGAAGCTTTAATAAGTTTTACTCTGTAATTAACTTGAACAAAACAAAACAAAAAAAGAAAAGAAAATAGTTCATTTTCCAGATACATTTTGTGAGTACTGAGTGGGTTTTGGTACTGAAAGAAAATCAAATTAAATAGGCTGAAACTGAGAAAGTGCAGCTTTTATGCTGAAACTTATTAAAGGCTATTTATCTGACTTAAATAAATTAGCTATTTTTAAGAACGGTCCAACTCAGTTTAAGCCAATTTAAACTTGAAATTAAAGAGTTTGGTTAGAACATCTGGGAAAGAAAAGGAATTGTGCATATAACAATTTTCTTATAGTTTTCCGATATTAATAAGATTTTAATATAAAGGGAAATTTAGAACAAAAAGAAAGAGAGTTAATCTTTAAATAGTTTTTTTTTCTTTAGCATCTCAAGGATATTGATTTTCCTAATGGGATCTTAAAATTGAACACAGAAAAAGCTGTTTGAAAAAAGTTTTGTTTTTAAAGCTAAGCTTTCAGGAGAGCTATATGTTATAGTGCCTTGATCTGGCCGACTTCGATATGCGTAATTTTTAAACAGTTTAAGAAAGAGTCAGACCTTTGTCTGATCAGGCGTATATCGATCATATAGAATATCGATTATATTAGGTTAGATATCGATAGCTTATCTATTTGTGGGGATAACTTGAGAAGAGTCTGAAAATGTTGTTTCGTGTATTTTAAGTGAATATGATTTATGATGCTTAACTGCACGAGATACGAATAGCTTATCTTTAAAGTGCCCAATCATCCAGCCAATCACCTTTTCGTAAAAATAATTGGCCATACGTTTGTCCCCGACGGCGTTCATGATTTTAATGGCATTCATATGATCGATCAGATTGTCGATGCGCTCCTGTTTGTTGGCCACAAGCTCATCCAGGCCCTCCGCCTCGATCTTCTCGAGCAGATTGTGCGCCCGCTGCTCCAGCTCATTGTAGGCAACGGCGCACAAGTTCTGTTGATTGGGTAAGACTGTATATATAATAGGGAATAATTTCAGGTATTCGAGAATGAACTAACTGCAAACTCAATGCTGGTGCTGGTGGGTACGCGCATATTGAAGTCACAGCCGATCACCTTGAGCAAGATGTTGGTCAGATTCTGCAGGGCGCAGCAGAAATGACTACGCTTGTCCTCGATGCTGTGCACATTCTTATCGACTATATAGCGTATCGTGTCCCGCATGAACACATCTAGTCGCGTATAGGCGTCCCGCTGGATCTTACTGAGCGGCAAGGGCTCCGTATTGTGCAGCTCGCCTTTGCAGTAGAGCAAACGATTCTGACTAATGAAGGATTCGCGAAACACCTTCAGCTCCTCGTACACCTGGCCCAGCGGTGCCAGCAGGCATATTTTTATAATCGCAAATGTCGGCGATTCGGTATCTTGTTGAGAGCTCGGCCGATTCGTATTACGTGTCTGGGACGTTGTACTTGTTGGCTTTATGTAAGACAACTTCTTCTTGGCGCCCAGATATTTTAGCTCCACAGCAAAGCGAATCGTTTGCACTGCAAAGAAACCCGCTCAATTTCATATAATCGCAAGTAAACGACTATCAGATACCCTAGCAAAACTTTCGACAGTACCTTCTTCTTTCTCTTAGATCAAAACTATGGACTCAGTTTTTTCAAAAGGAGTGCATATATACCAAAAATATACCAACAAATCAAAAATGTTGTGGAAAATCGA